TTTTTTTAAAGATTTCATTTATTTATTTGAGATAGAGGGCGTGAACTCGCACGCGCGCCAGCACAAGCCCGGGGGGCGGGGGGGTGGGCGGGGAGAGGGGCAGAGGGAGAGGGAGAAAACAGGCTCTCCGCTGAGCAGGGAGCCTTACGCTGGGCTCCATCCTAGGACCCTGGGATCATGACCTGAGCTGAAGGCAGATGCTTAACCAACTGAGCCACCCAGGCACCCTTGCTTTTTGGTTCTGAACACTTTTCAAATCTTGAGTTAGAAATAGAAGAATCAGATAATACAACAAAAACAAAAATGAGAATCAGGAGGAAGCAGTTTGAAGGCTGTAAAAATTACAAATGCTAGAGCTTAAAGTTCATTTTGCCTAATTTATAGATGAAGAAGCTGAACTCCATGGAAATAACAGGTTCACTCAAGCTAGTGAATTTCGTTTACTAGCTTGTGGTACAGTTGGAAGTGGACACTAGGTTTCTTAACTAGTTGGTTTAGAGTTCTTTCTGTAAAGTGGATAAACTGTTTTATTACTATTGCTGTGCAGCACTTTTGTCCTAAACTTTGTGGCCTAAAATTACCTTTTTTTTTTTCCCCTCACAATTTTATGACTCAGGAATTTGGGACCCGCAGGTGGGCATTTCTCACTTGGGTTCCCTCATGCAGTTCTGATTAGTTGTTGGCTGCCACTGCAGTCCTCTAAGGCTCAGATGAAGTGGAGCTTTAAGGTGGCTTACAGACAGGACTGGTTGTTGATTGCTTGCTGTGGCCAGGGAGCTCAGCTGGCTTTTGACCAGAGTGCCTACAGGTGGCTTCTCCAGAGTGGTGGTCTCAAGTTGTTACGTAGTTACTGGCTTTTCTCAGATTAAGTGCTGGAGAGCCTTTTCTGAGCTGGCCTTAGGAGTTACATAGTGTCACTTCCAACTGCATATTATTAGTTGGGAGTTGTCAAGCTGGGCCCAGATTCAGTGGGAGGGGACATAGATCCCACCTCTAGAAGGAGTGTCAAAGAATTTGTAAACACATTTCAAAACTTCCATAACCAAGAGATGACTTTGCCATTGTTTTCCCTGTATTCACTTGCTATCCAAAATAATGACTAGTGTTTATAGCTAACTAACATACCAACAATTGATTATAGATTTTTCCATCTATTCAGTGATTTTTTTTGGTTGGGAAAACTGTCACATGACAATGAAATAATGCTGCAATCAGAAATGGCTGTTGTAGGGTTTTAATTAAAATTGGAGTTTTCCTAAAGTGTAGTAGTTACTGTTGTAGATCAAGAAAATGAAAGCTTACATTTAAGATTATAAGATATATTTTTTTAAAGTTGATCTTTACCTTTGTGAACTCTTTTTAACTCTGTAAAGGAGAAAGTTGATGCAGGGATAAGATAAAAAGAGTATGACAGGAGAGTACCTAGATACAGATGTTTTTGAACAAATACCTATTTATGCCATTTAAAATTCATTAAGGCTATGGGGCGCCTGGCTGGCTCAGTTGTTAAGCCTATGGCTTCGGCTCAGGTCATGATCCCTGGGTCCTGGGATACAGCCCCGCATGTGGCTCATTGCTCAGCAGGGAGTCTGCTTCTCCCTCTGCCTGCTGCTCTCCCTGCTTGTGTGCGCGTGCTCTCTCTCTCTCTCTCTGACAAATATCTTTAAAAAAAAAAGAATAAAAGGTTCCAAGATGTATATAATGTCCTACTCCCAAGTCAATATTTTATTTTTTTTAAAAGATTTATTTATTTATTTGAGGGCGCCCTGGGTGGTTTAGTCGTTAAGCATCTGTCTTCGGCTCAGGTCATGATCCCACGGTCCTGGGATGGAGCCCTGCATCGGGCTTCCTGCTCAGCGGGAAGCCTGCTTCTCCCTCCCCCACTCCCCCTGCTTGTGTTTCCTCTCTCGCTGTGTGTCTATCAAATAAATAAATAAAATTAAAAAAAGGACAGGATGAGAAGAGGACGGTGACATCTTAATTGCTACTATAGAGAAGTGATTGTAACAATTAAAAAATGTAAGAATTTAGAATTGGAGAAACCCGAGAGGTAATCTGCTCTTACCATTTTGTTTTAAAAATGAAGAAACAGGGGCGCCTGGGTGGCTCAGTCGGTTAAGCGGCTGCCTTCGGCTCAGGTCATGTTCCTGGGGTCCTGGGATTGAGCCCCGCGTCGGGCTCCTTGCTCTGCGGAGAGCCTGCTTCTCCCTCTCTGCCTGCCTTTCTGCTTACTTGTGCTCTCTCTCTCTCGTCAAATAAATAAAATAAAAATCTTTAAAAAAAAAAAATGAAGAAACAGATTTGAAACTATAACAGCAGCAAGATTTCTATTTGTAAAGAGTTTTATTGAATGAGGGTACATATTGCAGTCTACTTAATTTCATTCATACAAGTTGTGTCAGAAATTTTTCCCTGCTGTCCCTAGGACATTATGTACTCAGCAGTGCTATTTATACACATGACATTCTTCATACTACTACTTCTTATTCTTTATTTGTATAGCTCATATGAAATAGGAGTAGAAAATGTTTGTGTTGTATGGAACTGAAAAGAAAAGTATTTAACTTTATATTTTTTAATTTACATGTATATTAATTTTTTGTTTAGATTTATTTGTAACCATCAGATAATTCAGTTCAAAAGAAAATTATCTCTAGTATTATATGTACATGGGTCTAATTAGAGAGTTTGTCAGAGAAAATAGGATCTTTTAAATCAAGATAACTTTTTAAGATTATATTCACTGTGGCCATTACCATAGCAATGTCCATTTATCTGTGTGCAGTGACCAGATCATTAATTTCTGTGACATTGATGTACTTTCAATTGTCTGTTTCTTTAGGATAAATTCCTATAACTGAAACTTCTGTTACAATGATAAATATACCTAAAGGCTTTTGACATGTGTATTGACAAATTGCCATTCAGAAAAATTACAAGATTCTGTATTTTCCCATCATTCCTTTAGTCTCCCGTCCTAGCCGTATTTGATAATCTACCATGATGTGAAACCCAGCTCACTGGTCTGTTTACAGACTTTCGTCGTCTTGCTTTTGTTCATGCTGTCTTTTCTTGGAATGGCTTTCCCTTCCTTTGCTTGGTTACTTTTACTTGTTTTTTAGACTGTAAGGTTGGGAAATTTATAGAACTTTGTTATGCCATGACTATTGCTTGATCAAGGATACTCTTTTTATAGGAAGTTAATATTTGAAATTATGAAGTAATCCTAGCCTGGGTTATAAAATGTTTTTTTTTCCAGATTGGGAGAACAGTTTCACAAATGGCTGATAGCTGGATCTCACACTTTAGAACCCCCTGGGCCCTGTGTCATGATTTTATATTTTTGTGTCTGTTTTTTGTCTTTTAAGGCTCCAAATTTCATTTTGGCAAGTTATTCCAAGAGAAAGTGAGGGTGGTGGGAGAGGAGGAGGGGAGTGTAGTTTGGCCGTCAGTACTGCTGCCAGGTGGTAGATGGTCAGAGAGGACTGGCAAAGGGGGGATTTCACAGGGAGGGCATATGGAGGTGCTGAGTAAATGCCCATTGACTGAGCCAAATGTTACCTTTGGAAACCCCCAGCCCTGAGGATGGATGCTAGGTTTGCCAGAAACCTGAAGTTAAGGCTCTGGTGTGTAGGCCAAGGAAGCCATACCAGCAGATAAAACAGCAGCATGAAGCCAAGGCTACTTTTCTGCTTTGGAGATTTGATGGGCTATAATTGAGAAAATATCTGGGAATACGTACCATAGTTCTAACTGCCACCACCAGCATAACACCTTTGTTAGTACAACAGATTGTATACAAAATACTACCACACATGTCTGTATAAGATCATTTGGCACATATGTGTTTGGAAAATAGGAAAAAGATGTCAGTTTAACATGGAGGTTTGGGATTCCTATGTAGTCTTTCCTAGTTCCGGAGAGCTAGGATAATAGGGGTAGAATCCTATCCTTTAGCTGGAGGGGGAAAAAACCTGAATTCTGCTGTGAAGGCAGCAGGAACCTTTCAGCAACATTTAAAGAAAATGAGAAATTAGCCGTGGATGCAAAGGAGCACTTGCATCCAGGGCTCCCTCCCCAAGAGGCACACCTCTAGCTTCCCACTGGTTGCATGAGGGGCAGACTGCTGCTTCCTCGGCTCTTTTCCCCTCTGTGCTCTCGTAGCTGGCTAGGTGCCCATTCTGTTGTTGTGATGCTGTGTTAACATCCCCTGAGACAGCCTCAAACCACTCCAAGATGTTTGTCTGGGCATCCAAATGATATCCCCAGGTACTGATTATTGCTTTTGTTACCTCTGGTTACAAACTTGAATAGGTTGTGAGTGGCCTGCCCCTCATCCTTTTTTTCCCCCGTAAGCTTTGTTATTTTTAATGTGAGTTTTTTTTTCAGGAACGAATATATCACGTATAAGCAGAAATGCCTGTATTTTTTTCTTGGATTTTTTCCCCAAGTATCTTAAAATTTGTTACTACTTTTTTAACTGTCAACTCCAGCTTTTAATGTGCTATGCTTATTTTTCAGAATTTGATTTCTTGAACTCATTTTTTCTCTTAGATCCTTCAAAGCCTTTTCTCCATTCATTGTTTAAGCCCTCTTCCCTTGCTCTCTTCCTGTGCTAATCTGCTTCCCTCCTTCCCTTTATGTGCTTTGTGCATTTGATGTTATATTTATAAGGTTAGGAAATTTTTCTTAATAGGAAATTTTTTATTTTGGCATTTCTGGGTTTTTCAAGTCTTCCATTAAAAGCACAGATTAAATTTAAGAGTTCTTGTATTTTAATACTAAGGATTTTCATTATATATTTTAATTACAATGCTAACTTTTAAAATTAAAAATACATTTTATTACAGTATATACATAAAAGTGAAATGTGTTGATTAATACTATGTAAGCATGCCTGTGTTACATATTTAACATAATTTATAAGCATACTTATATTTATGTAAAAAAAAAAATCCATGAATAGGACTGTATGTGATGCTAATTTTGTTTTCCTCCAGGAGGATCAGGATGGGAGTCAAGGACTGGGCAAGAGAAAGAGGGTCAAACTAAGCAGTAGCACCAAAGGTATTTATATTTAATTTTTTCCTTGTATAAAAAGCTAAAAATGAAAACCAAGAAACAGATTAACTATAGACACAAACTGATAGTTACCAGAGGGGAGGTGGGTGGAGGGGGATCGGTTAAACAGGTGATGGGCATTAAGGAGGGCACTTGTGATGAGCACCAGGTGGTGTATGGAAGTGTTGAATCACTCTATTGTACACCTGAAACTAATGTGACACTGTATGTTAATTAACTGGAATTTAAATAAAAACTTAAAAAAAAGCTAAAAATGTTTAATCATTAAGAATACTTGATGGGCTAACCATTTTGAAGGGAGAATTATATTCTTAGATTTGTCTAATGATGGAGAAAGTATTGTTAGGGAGTGATTGTGGGGACCTCAAAAGCAAATGAAACCCTTACTGTTGGAATTTTGTTTATTGTTTTCTCATAAGATGTGCATTATTATATTTGAACCATAAAAAAAGTAAATCTTTTCATTGATTCTTTGATTTGGATCCAGTGTTTTTGGTGTAAAGTTTTAGTTTGATTTACATCTTTTTATAATCTGGGGTATGCAATTTCTAGAGTGAAAAAGCATAAGTATGGGAGAGATGGTGAGAAAGAGAGGTGGGAGGAGGGAAAGAATAAAAATAATGGCACTTAATTAAGGGTTCAGTAAGGGCTCAATACATGTTTGCTCAAAGGAGGAAGTAGGTATTTCTGTAGTGAGGGAATAGATTAGTGATAATAATAATATTTATTGATCTTTTTGTATATGATAGACATAGTGCCAGGCATTTCACATGTATTGTTTCATTAAATTCTTAAAGTCACCATACAAAACAGTAATTATTATTATTAATACTATTTTATGAATGAAGAAATGGAGGCATGTTAGAGATCACAGCTAATGAGAAGTAGATCCTTAATGCAACCCCCAGAGCCTAAGCTGTTAATCACTGTTTTCTTGGCCCTTACGAAAAGCTTTTCTAGAGTACTTGTTACTAGCTGACAGCCTGCGCTCTGGATTTTTGCCGTGGATTTCCAAATCTTAATATGGTCTATATTCTGGGTTAGTATGGTCTGTTAGAGAGTCTCCAGTTAAATTATTATTTTGATGAAAAAAAGATTATTATTTCTGTGCTGAGTATATCTTGTGGTATATTTACAACTGCTTGGAAAGGTGGAGCAAACAGGTAGTTTCAGTTGAGGCTCATTTTGTAAGTCTGTTCTGAGTTACTTTTGCTGCTGCATTTAACTTGGGTCTCCTAGTGTTGGGGACCCCTTGAGATCTTCTAGCCAGACTAAGATGACATTAGCCAGATTAACAGGAGAAAATAAAATTTAATAGTGTACATATGGGAAATCACACAGACATGGAAATTCCAAAAACAGGCAAAATAAAGTATATAGGTAATTCTGAACTAGGGAGAAATGGGTAAGGGTCTGAGACTTCAAAGGGAAGACATTCAATTCATAGGAAGATGAAAAAGAGTAATATTTGATAAATACATGTTTGCTGGGCCCCTTAGAAACAATGGGACACAGGTCTTGCTAGGTTCCGCCCTACCATACTTAGTTTATATCATAATGTAGTTATCTATGGTGATAGCTCTCTTCCTGAAGCAGGTCCTCTATCTAAATTCTTTTTAGGTTTTTGAGGGGGAAGGTAAAGAGCTTTTCCTAAATCTGCTGGATTTTGATTGCTTCTATTTGTTTGAGTATAGTTGACACCCAATGTTACATTAGTTTCAAGTATACAACTTAGTGATTTGACAAGTTTGTACATTATGCTATGTTCATCACAAGTGTGGCTACCATCTGTCCTGTTACATCACTATTACAGTATCATTTAGTGTATTCCTATGGTCTGCTTTTTATTCCTGCAACTAACTCATTCCATAACTGGAGGCCGGTATCTCCCTCTCTCCTTCACCCATTTTGCTCATCTGCCCACCTGTTCTGTTCTGGCAACCATCAGTTTGTTCTTTGTATTGATAGGTCTGATTCTGCTTTTTGTTTGTGTATGTATATGTGTATGTGTGTGTTTGTGTGTATATACATATATATGTATATATTAGATTTCACTTATGAGTGGAATCATAGTATTCGTCTTTCTCAGTCTGACTTATTTCACTTAGCGTAATATCCTCTAGTTCCATCATGTTGTCTCATGACAACTTCGTCCTTTTTTATGGCTCTCTAATGTTCCATTCTGTATATATACCACATTTTCCTTATCCATTTGTCTATTGATGGACACTTCCTTATCTTGGCCTAAATAATGCTGCAGTAAACATAGGGGTGCATATATCTTTTTGAATTAGTGTTTTGGTTTTCTTTGGGTAAATACCCAGTAGTGAAATTATTGGATCACATGGTATTTCTGTGTTTAATTTTTTGAGGAACCTCCTAATCTTCATGCCAAAGGAGCCCATCTTGGGGTGGCCTGCCCTTGGCCCTACACTAGCAAAGGGCATGAAATTGCTCTGTGGTCCAGGATGCACACATGCACACATGTTCCCCTTCTTCCTTGCCTAGCAGAGAACCTGTGATGCCTGAAGGAAATTAGAAACCCGTATGGCGACCTGGCCTTTGACTTATCAGAGTTGTCTATGTATTTACCTGAGTCCTTGACACACATCTGAGTTGAAGTGGACTGTTAGGTGCATACTTGAGTTTCAGCTTTAGGGATGCCTTGAAAAAAAAATACCTGTTATGGTGTAAGAGGTCATTGTTTTCCTTCAGTCTGGTCAAACTTTGGTTGAAGGTACTTTTTATGGAGACTTAAAGTTGAAGCTTATTTTATACCTGATTTTTTTCATATTTGAGATTGGATTGATTATCTTCTCTTCCTTCCTCCACTGGTGAGAAGTGGTACAGAGATTTAAGACTTGATCGGTTATCATTTTTGCTTTAAGTATGTGCATGGAAGAAAAGGCTTTTTGAATTAGTAGAACCCCTGTTTTCACAAAGTGATAGTTGCTTTTGAGATATTGAAAGTCCAGGGATTGGTTTAGTTTTTGTAAGAATTTGGTTCAATTGTTTGAAAGTGAGCTGAAAATAAAATAGGTAATGATAGGCAAGAGGTTGAGGCACTGTGCTACATTCACTGTCTATTCTCGAAACCTAAATTTTAAGGATGAAGAAACTGAGGCCTGGAGGGCTTCAGCTAACATGATTATTGAGCTCCTCAGTTAACGGAGCCTGGACTCTGCTGTCTAATGAAAATCTTTACGTTACTCATGTATTTGTACCACATACTGATTGCTCAGAAATCTCTTTTTACAGTTTGGCTTAATGTAGTTTAGGTATTGTAAAAATCATGACAATTTAATCCAGATTTTAAAGGTAAATATGTAGTGATACATAACTAATGGAAGCATTTCTAACCACATTTCCATAACATAACACAACACACAAAGCACATCACACATGTTTTAAATATCTTGGGGAAACTGACATCACCTATTTTAAGAACGATAACAGTGAAGATATTGTGGGTTTTTTTCTTGGCTTTTTTGTCTGAAGATGAAAAAATGGAATCATACACAATTGCAGTTATTTTCACTTTATTAGAAGCCATAGCTTTTCTGGTTCATTTGGATTGTTTTATTTATTTTAAAAAAAGTGAATGTATCTTTTTCAATATATGACATAATAATTATGGTAGCTTCAGGCTTTTCATTTGGCAAATGCAGACTTGCAGAGTCATAACTGAATTCTAAGATTAATACTACAAGTTTTTTAGCTTTGTAGATATTTTTAGAAACCCTTATCTGTGAGGATTTTATTTATTTTTTTTGGTAGTCTAAAATTCAGTCATATTAGTGCTAAATAAATTGTAAGAATTAAATTGACATCAGCAATATGCTCTGGGTTATATTCAAAATTAGAATATAATTTTGTCACCGATTCACTTGGGCCCTAATTTTATTACTTTTTGGCTTTGAATCTGTCAGTGTGTGCCTTTGAATATATTTTACCTAATTTTTTTCAAGACCGGTTTATTTCTATTTTTAAAATCATTGTCATATCATGGGAATGATCTAGTTCAGGAGGAAGAGATTTCTGTTTTGCAAGTAGAAAATTCTGAGATTTATTTACTTATTTTTAAAGATTTTATTTATTTATTTGACAGAGAGAGAGAGAGAGAGACAGTGAGAGAGGGAACACAAGCAGGGGGAGTGGGAGAGGGAGAAGCAGGAAGTGCCCGATGCGGGGCTTGATCCCAGGACCCTGGGATCATGACCTGAGCCGAAGGCAAACGCTTAATGTCTGAGCCACCCAGGTGCCCCGAAAATTCTGAAATTTAGAAAATAAGAATAAATAGTTTCCACTAAGGAGATGTATAGTATAAATGTATTTATATTTTTATCGCTGTTACTTTAGCTTATACTAAAGGCACACTGAAAGGGAGTTAGGGAATTGGGACATAACTTTTGCTTCTCTGTAGTTAAAATCGTAATGTCTCCAGAATAATGAAATTATTATTCTGAAAATAATGGGTTATTAATTATTAACAGAAAAATTGGGTTAAAGTTATGTCTAATAAGTACTGATTCAAGCCTGTTAAAATCAAAATGTCTTATAGAAGGATCAAGAGAGAGGGGGCATGCTTATTGATGACCTGCTTATTGTTACATTTTTTAAAAAAGATTTTATTTCTAGAGAGAGAGTGCTGGAGTGTGAGCAGGGGAAGGAGCAGAGGGAGAAGGATTAACTGACTCTGTGCTGAGGGCAGAGCCCAATGTAGGGCTAAATCTCAGGATCCTGACATCATGACCTGAGTTGAAATCAAGAGTGGGATGCTTAACTGACTGAGCCACCCAGGTGGCTATTGTTACATCTGTTACATTTTTAGACCCATGACCTGAGGAGATGTGGTGTGACCACATTACTCAGTAATAGAACTGTGAGACTGAGGTAGGGTTAGTTGAAAAAATGCTTAGAGGTCACTCTGCAAGACAACTCCAACTGTAATGTAGTTAGGGCTATACATGAGTATTTTGGTGTATGTGATATTATTTTTTAAAATCCCTCATCTAACTCTAGTCCTTGTGTAAGCATCATCACTGAACCAATCCATTCACAGCTGACACTTGCTGTATCCTCTTAAATGTCCTTAGATAGATCCGATGATCCAGAGCAGTAGCCCAAGCCCAAGATCATTTGCTCCAACAAAGATCAGTTGTCAGAATTTTGTAGTTCTTTTTTAGGGAAAGACACTAGAGAAGGTGAGAGAAAGAAATAGCTAAAGTATTAAAAATACTCAGTTCATTATATACCCGTTGAGACCCTTCTGTTGACTAAGGATGCAGAGATTAGTAGGGGACAAAGTAGCCCTTAAGGGTAGCTTAGAAACTGGCCATTTAGTAATTTTATCCCTTTTTGAATACTTTTATTTAAAAGGGGCATCCATTTTCGGTTTCCCCTAATGCATGAAGAAGGGCATCTTGAGTCCAGTGCAAGTAAGCATGTATAACATTCTTTATAATTTTCCTGGTATATTCTTACCAGATAAAAAGTAAATGCTTCTGTATATACTAGTGTAAGCAGTTCATTAGTAATTACTTCCTGCAGCAAAATTAGTATTTCATTTCTGAAGAACAATTTTAAAGAAATAAATTATTGAATACTATAACAATTTCCCCCCTTTTCTCTAAAAACTAAAAATTAAAAGAGTCAGTAAGTTTGGGCTTATGGTTTTAATATTTTGTTTTTAGCTTAAAATTATTATTACTATTAATATTAGTATTAAGTACCATGAATATTGTTCTTGTAAGATAATCTGAATCTTAGTAGAAATTTTAAATAAATGGCTTAAGGGCCAAGTAGTTATTTTTTTTTAGTAACTGCTTCCTTTTAAAATATAAGGATTAAGTATTTTATTATTTATATACCATGGAGATTGTAGAAACCTGGATTGATGATGTCAGTATTATTATTGAATTATTGAAAGGGTATCCTTAATTTGTAGATACACTCAAGTGTTTGAGGTTAATGGCTTATTAATTATAGTAAGGTTTAAATGAGATGAGCAACTTAAATCATTAGGTGATAAGTTTTCTTTTTTTATGTAGATCAATCTATAATGGATGTTTTGAAACATAAAAGTTTTCTAGAAGAACTGTTGTTTTGGACTATAAAGTATGAATTCCCTCAGAAGATGGTAACTTTCTTACTCAACATGCTTCCAGATCAAGAGTATAAGGTATCAATGTTTTTTCCCTTCCTTTCTGAACTTTGCTCCCCTTTCTTTGCCTTTTCATTATGAAAAGTTTTTGGTTTGTTTTTAAGCTATGGCTTATTTTATTGTAGCTTTAAGGACTGAGATAACACTAATAAAAAGCATTAGCTTCTTTTGCTGTCAAAACAGGGTTTGCACAAAAAGCACAGGATCATAGCAGTATTCTTAAGGGTAGTCTGTCTGCATGAAACTTGGTCCAAAGAGAATGCTGGGGGACAAACAAAAACATAATTACACAAGTAAATATGTAGTCAATTAAATTGTGGTGGGTTCTCCAAAGGAGAGGTACAAGGTGCTATGAGAATGTTTAAGGGGGCAACTGAATTTGGATTGTGGGGTTAGAGAGGCGTCTGGCTGGCTCAGTTGGTAGAGCATGCTACTCTCGATCTCGGGGTCATGAGTTCAAGACCCATGTGAGGTGTAGAGATTACTTAAAAAAAAAAGTGGATTGTGGGGTTAGGTTTGAGAAAATCATAGGGTTAGTTGTTGCTGGCCATAACCATTAAAGACAGAACAGTTTTGACCTATATACACATGTAGGTAGGTGAAGGCTCTAGTCCCAGAGGGTCTGGACCCTCACTTATGACCACCATGTGGTTATGGCAAAGTGACACAGCCTAGTGTATGAAAAGAAAATAAATTTTGCTGTCGTTCTTCTTCTTCCTTTTTTTTTTCTGTAGTTCTTCTTACGGTTTAGGTAACAAAACCTCTTTAAGAGTTACACTTTAATGAATAATGCCATTGTTTTGTGTCTTTATACCCATTTAAGAAAACAAGAAGAAATGTATATGTTACATAGAAAGAGTATTTATTTAGTCAGATAATGGTCAGCTTTCCAGTCAAATAGAAGACATTTCTTTTGGAGTAATCACATCGAGTTTCTTGATTTTAGTTATATTAAATCCTCTGGTATGGTTTTTAGCTGAGACTTTAGATTTTGTTGTTAAAGTAGATAGCACAGACCAAAGATACCTACTTTGACATTAGTTAATTGATATATTTGTAAGCAAAGTGAAAATTTGTATTTTTAAATCATGGTATTTATAATTGTTCTAAAACTTTAATAATTTAAAGTGCCTATTAAAATTTTTGTAAACACCCAAGTATTTTTTTAATGTTCCAAACAAAAGAATGTGACTACCACCATAATTGAAATTACTTCTAAAATTACTGTGGATGTCATCATAAGCTAATAATAGCTTTAAAATGGTGATATAAGGTATTGGAAAATGTGTTATAAAACTCAAAGTTAAACTAATATGTTTTTTTCTTCCTATTTAAAAAAATTTACAGGTTGCTTTTACAAAAACTTTCGTTCAGCATTATGCTTTCATTATGAAAACACTGAAGAAAAGTCATGAATCAGACACAATGTCTAACAGAATTGTGCATATTAGTGTTCAGTTGTTCAGCAATGAAGAGCTAGCCAGACAGGTAACAGAAGAATGTCAGCTGCTGGATATTATGGTCACTGTGCTATTATACATGATGGAAAGTTGCCTTATTAAAAGTGAGCTACAAGGTAAACTCAGAATTATTTCACTAGTTTTATTATTGGTATATTTTGTATAACTAGTCTTAAAAACCTCCTTTTATGCTTAAGATAGATTTAAAAATATTATAAAATAATACATCTTTGTTAAAGAATTTTTTGAAAATTTGCATCAAAATTTAAAGACAAACTTTATTATTTTTAAGACAAACTTTAAAATTACTTTTAGCTTTGTTATTCACAAATAACTGTTAACATTTTTGGATATTTCTTTTCTGTCTTTTTGTGTGATAAGAGTTTATTTACAGATTCAGATAATACTTTAAAAATATACTCCAACTTTAAAAATATGCTACTATATTGTATGTGTTGAAAACATGTTTTTAAATGATTGCAGGTATTAATGTCATATGGATTTACCATAATTTAACCATTTCTTTATTAGATATATTCCTATTTTTTATTATAAATTTGTTTTTATCTGCCTTAGACATTTTTATATGCCTAGAGTTTTAGAATTTAAAAGTTGAAATAAATCTTGCCTTTTTTTGTTTTCCCTTCGTGAGGTCTTTAGTTTTTCTTTTGTGCCCACTATATGATTGATATTCCTCAAACTACCATAATACTTCTAGGACCTCCTCCCATTCTCATTTCACTGTGGCCTTTCATCTTAACTTTACCTCTCTGTAATAATTTGTATTATTTGAGTATTTGCTATGTACGAGGCACTGTATTAATACCATTCGTATGTTGTCTCAGTTAAGCTTCTGAACAGTTCTCTGAGATTGGTATTATTATTATCCTTATTATTCTCACTTTAAAGATGAATAAGTTGAGGCTTAGAAAAGTTAGGGCATTTACCATAGGTAAGACAGCTAGTAAATGACAGAGCCAAGGTCTTCTTATCTCCTGATGTCGGAGTCTGCCCTTACCCATGACGCAAAGCAGGTCAACATCGATAGTATTGTGTCTTCACTTGTCGGCACGTGGAGCTAAACTTTAATAACAAACAATACCTGAGATTATATCTTAGGACCTTTCCATTGTCTTTGGAGGAGAGATCTTGTAGTTGAGACTTGCTTTGTTCCACTGTTACCTCCTTTTGCATATCAACTACTGTTTTCTCTCTGTTGTCAGGTGATCTATTCTCATGTGATACCATAACCTGAAAATTGGTGTATGCTCAGTGCAGGATGCGATGCCTTATATATGCTAATAATAGCTAGCAAAGATGATGGCTACCATCTTTTGAGCACTCACTATGTGCTATGCTCTTTTCTCAATACTTTGTATTATGTTATTTAACCATCTGTAAAGTAGATGCTGTTTTTTCCATTTTATAGGTGAGGGAACTGTGGCTTAGGGAGTTGAAGTCAATGATCGATGGTTTTATAGCTGTAAATAGTAAGGCTAGGTGTCTGGCTTAAACCCGTACTCCTGCCCACTATGTGAGTCTGTCTTCCTATTGTAGGTATAGTGGGAGCATAATACATTTTTTACATTGAGCAATATGTCTCTTCACTTTTTTAAAGGAAAATTTAAAAGCTGCTTTGTGTTATAGCTCTTCTATCTTCATGTAAGATGACCCTTTCAAGATTGAGCTACATATATTACATGTGTTGCTTGTCCTTTTTTGAAATAGTATCTATCATCGTTCAGTTGTATCAATGATATTCTTATATATAGAATTACATATTTAGAGAAGGACTTTTCACAAAAAGAGTATTTTTAATTTATAAACTAGAAAACTTTAATTTTTAAAAATTGTTTTAAATTTTTAAAGATTTATTTGAGTGAGAGAGAGAGGTGGGGTGGGATGGAGGGACAGGAAGAGAGAGAGAGAGTCTTAAGCGGACTCCATGCTGAGTGTGGAGCCCAGCACCAGGCTCTGTCTCATGACCCTGAGATCATGACTTGAGCTGAAATCAAGAGTTAGATGCTTAACTGTCTGTACCACCCAGGCGCCCCTAAACTAGAAAACTTTCTTTTTTTCTCAAAGATTTTACTTATTTATTTTGACAGAGAGAGAAAGAGACAGTGAGAGAGGGAACACAAGCACGGGGAGTGGGAGAGGGAGAAGTGGACTCCCAGCTGAGCAGGAAGCCCGTTGCGGGGCTTGATCCCAGGACACCGGGATCATGACCTGAGCCGAAGGCAGATGCTCAATGACTGAGCCACCCAGGCGCCCCTAGAAAACTTTTAAAATTTAGAAGTATCTGCTCTTTTGGAAAGAATCTGGAGTCTATTTTCTTGACTAAATGGTTTAGCTGTGCTTATTAGTTATATATAGTTTGCACTTGACCTTCAAGGAAGAATGTTTGAGATGTGTTGAAATCTCATATTTTTTCTGTAGCCAGATTTCCTGAAAGAGTTTGTTTCCTTGCTTTTTAGTCACTCAGTAACTGACCTCAGTCTAGTGTCCACTTCCATCATTCTGTTGCTCTCTCTGACATTGTTTGTGACTCCAGTGGTCACATGTTCTACTTTTCCCAGAATGGCTCCAAGTAATCCTATTGTTCTGACATAGTTATTTATACAATCTCCTTTATTCTCAAAAGTGTCCCATTTTACACAATAAATTGTATGATCACCCTTTTAATGACACACAGGATGGACCTGTGGCCACTCTTTGGACCTTATCTTTCCTGATTTTCAGTAGCATTCAGTAGATTTTCACTGCTGATTGTCTGTTCTTTCTGTGACCCAAAACTCTTTTCTGCTTGTTCTGTTGATGTTGGTGTTTTTTGGGACTTTGTCCCAGTATCTTTGCTCTTCTCACTTTCCCCATATTTTCTGAAATCATACTGCAAAGTCTTATTTTGCTTTGTGGATATACTTCCCTTCTAATGCAGTTAGTCTGTTCTGGAAATTCTTACACAAATTGAATTTTCCAGAAGCTAAATAGCTGTTAGTAGCATTGCTAAGATCTTTAAATATAAACGTATTTTTTCCAGCAATAAATTACATTATTTCTAAGCCAAGGTCTAAAATGATCTTTAGCTCCCATGGTGTTTTATTCCTCTTTTAAAAGTAGCATAATGTTTCATGGTACATACTTAGTGGTTTTCTAAAAGCGCCATAAACTTTCCTGTTTTTACATCAAGAGTATTAAAATGGGCTTTAAATATATTGAACTACCTATAACTAGCTACAGATACTACAACAGGAACTCTGTTGTAATAAACAAATACTGCTTTTATTTTTTAATAAATCTGTCTAGCTTTCGCAAAAATTTTCATTAAGAGTATTTGAAAATTTTGTCTATACTATTAGTAAATACAGAAGCTGATACAATGAGAATTCACATGGCCACAGCAATAGCTAAAGATTAAAAGGAAAAAGGCTCTAGTAGTAAATGATCCGTACCTTACACTTTTACTTTGTTATATTTGCTTCTGCACCATATTACTTTGTGAGTCCAAACAACTCATAACTACTCATATCCCTAAAATTTTACAATTTGTCATATGAAACAGTCTATATAAAAATGGAGACTTAAAACCATATGTTGCAGGGCTGCCTGGGTGGCTCAGTCGGTTAAGCCTCTGACTCTTGATTTTGGCTCAGGTCATGATCTCGGGGTTGTGGGATCGAGCCCCACATTGGGCTCTGCACTGGGCATGGAACCTGCTTAAGATTTCCTCTCTCTCTCTCCCTCTGCCCCTCTCTCCTGTACTCTCTCTTTCTCTCTCTCACAAAAAAGCCAAGAAAACCCCCAAAACCCCAAAAACCATATGTTGCATAACCATAAGAATATCTGTAGATGGTAATAACCCCAGATTGATCTGTCCTGCATATCAGACTGTTTATTGAGCTATATTCTTTGGGTGTCTGCAAGTACCTCAAACACACAATGTCCACACCAAAAATTTCTTCTTATTTATCAAGCCTGCTTCTTTTCTATTATTGTGTGTGTGTGTGTGTGTGTGTGTGTATGTGTATGTAGGCGTATGTGAATACACAAGTGTGTGTTTTGGTACCACTGTCCAACCACCTATACAGTTGCGCAACTTAACAACCTAGGAGTCATTTTTTACTTCTTCGTGCTCCTCGTAGATGCAATGAACATCACCAAGTTTGTCATTTAAACCTTCTAAACATCTTAAAATAGCTGTTTCTCTTCATCTTTACATCTTCACGCCACGACCATAGTTCAAGCCATTGCCGTCTCTAGGCGTCATACCACTAGCCATCACCACCTTCCTTTAGTCACTTTCCACACTACATATCTGATCATGTCCCTGTCTCGCAGCCCTGCCCCCCAGTGGCTTGGCATCCTCTTCACATGAACTCCAAACTCCTGAAGCTGATTTTTAAGGCCTTCTGGTTTCGTTTGTGCCACCCATCCTCTGCATTCTGTGTCCCAACGATTCCATCCTTTTTTTACATTGCTTCCTCTACCTAGAACACCATTTCTTCTCACATCCCTAGTTTATTTGGCTGATCCCAATTCCTCCTTCATTCCGTAGATCTTAGTTTAGACATCACTTCCTCAGGAGAGTCTTTTCCTCGATTGTAGACTAGCTGTATTTGTTTTTATGACTTCTTGTACTTTGCCTATGATAGCTGTGTCACACTCTGTCTTCTTATATTAATCTCAGTGGAGAGACTATATAAGTTTTGATTTATTTACCACTTTATTCTCAGAACTTAATAGAATACCTGGCCCTCAGTACGTGCTCAATAAATATTTGTTGATGAGTGAATCTCAGCTGGGGAAAAATAGAAGTCCTAGTCACTTTATTTCACCAAGGGTTCCAAGATGTTTTTCATAACAACAGTAGTATTTAAAGCAGAGCCAGGAAAATAGTCATTTTGATTAATTGTATTCGCTTATTCATCTTCTGGTTTCAATTAAATAGAACAATGATTTTGACTGTTTAAAAAATTTTAAATTCCAGCATCACTGAGCACTGTCCCATTAATATCAACTGCTCACCAACTCATGGTGACAGTAATTGTCAGTCAGAGAGGGTTTTCTCATCTCAGGTGTGGGTGGTTTGTAAAAGCCCCACTTCTTCATTCAGTTACACCCTCTCTCATCCTATCGAGAGGCACTAAAAGAGAGCATACTTAACTTTGTGGATCCTGTTCTTATATATTATTAAACTTAAGAGTTGGGTAAAATAATTTCATGGACTGAAACCTAAATTTAATGTATGGAAAATAAGAAGTGCAGTAGAAGCCTCTTCACTGATGTGTTTATTTTTATTTTTTTTAATTTTTAAAAAAGATTTTGTTTATTTGAGAGTGAGCTCATGTGCTCGAGAGAGAGAGAGAGAGAGAGAGAGAGAGAGAGAGAGAGAGAGTGCGCGCGCGAGAGAGTGCTTACGCACAAGTGGGGGGAGGGACAGAGGGAGAGGGAGAAGCAGACTCCTCGCTGAGCCGGGGCTCAATCCCAGAGCAAGACCCTGAGATCAGGGCCTGAGCAGAAGGCAGACGCTTACCCAACTGAGCCACCCAGGCACCCTCACTGATGAGTTTAACAAGTAGATGGTTAGTTGAAAAAGTTGGTTAAAGTGAGGAATCATAAAAAAAAGAGATACATGTATTAAACAGTGCATTTTAACTTAAAATATGGAGATGCTTGTTCATTCTCTAATCTGTTAATTTTGGGCAAAGCATTTTTAAGTTATGGTTTCCTTGACTGGAGTTCTCCCTCATCACTTCTGCAAAGCATCATCTGTGGTTTCCAGTTTCAGTTTCTTTAGATTTAGAACATAAAAATCTTTATGAAGCAATCTGAGTGTAAAATTCTAGGTTTTTATGATTTTTCTCTAAGATTTTTTAACATTTTCTTAGGCACTTACTTTTATTGTCTCTCAAAAACTTATGATCCAGTTTTTGTAATACCTGTCTTTATGTATTCATATTTCATCAGTTTATGTACTTTTAATTTAAATTTTATGATAAAAAGAACAGTTAGCATGCACAGAAACAAAAACAGACTCTGGATAAGTATATATCTTGGCTTATGTACTAGGGAATAGGTTACTAGCTTTGAGCATTCTGTATATTATGGGTATTAGTATGTTTTACAGTAGAAATAGGGGGCTCATTTGTCCAGTGAATTAGTTAATTTGGAATAGGTTAAGAGAGCTAATGTATATACGCTCTAACTTCTAATAGTAAAGATTTGTACATACCTAATCTTTCCCTACCCACAATAAACTTTGAGGATTTTTTTTAAAGGCTTAAGAAATTTATTTGTATGTGTATCTTTTATTTTTGGAATACTGTATTTGCTAAAAAGTTATATTTACATATTCTTTGAGTAGAAGAAAGCAATTATATATCGCTTATATCATACAGATTTGTTGATAAGATGTAATGAGATTAATCTAGGGATAAAAATATTTTATTGATTGGAACTGAAGATATTGCATTATGTTGTTAAAATCAAGAAAATAAGGTTTTATGAACATATACCTAGTTCAATATCATATAATATGTTAGACATGTGGTAATAATTATTATAATGATGTGCTTAGTGTTGTGTTAATGCTTCATTTAATTCCCTTAAGGTATGTGTCTTTTCCTCATTTTGTAGATAGGGAAATTGATTCAGAATCTCAGTAACACACCATATGTCTGCCTGGAGTTTGAATTTAGAGATCCCTGATTCTAATGTATATAATGTGTATCATTGGTAAAGTTGTTTTTTTTTTTTTTAAACTTATTTATTACTGGGCTGTGTGTCTGTTTTAGATGAAGAAAATAGTTTACATGTGGTAGTGAACTGTGGAGAAGCATTACTGAAGAATAACACTTATTGGCCTCTTGTCAGTGATTTTATTAATATCCTTTCTCATCAAAGTGTGGCTAAGAGATTTTTGGAGGACCATGGTTTGTTAGTTACATGGATGAACTTTGTATCTTTCTTTCAAGGTATGAATTTTACTTTTTTTGTTAATTATTTTAGTTTACAAAAATGCCTAATGCAGAACGATCAAATATACTAATTAAGAGATAATAGCACATCGTTCAGGTTACATGTGATGAAATGTCTCATTTTAATTAATATTTGCAAGTACTTTAATCAAGTGTTCATGAAAATAGAGTTATGAAAAATACCAAATTATTAAAAAGGAAACAGGAGTGTAAATCCTGCACTTTAAATCATTAATCTATTCTTCAAGAAAGATTTATAACACTTTCATAAAATTTCAACAAGCATCAGTTAAAATAGTTTTGACTTTAACATATTCAATTATGTTATATAAGAGACAATTCACAAAGTGTTTCTAAGAAAACCTAGTTTGTAAAAATTTCTAAAAGGACGAGATTATTTTACTTTAAATTATTTATTTATTTCTCTACATTTTGTATCACTTATGCCATTTGTGTGCACTGAGTGTTTGGTACTAGGAAGTATTTTACTTGATTTTTAATATGAATACTTGCTTCCATTTGGCAAGGTTTATATCTGCTTTAATTTTTGCAAGGTATGAACTTAAACAAGCGAGAACTAAATGAGCATGTGGAATTTGAGTCTCAGACCTACTATGCTGCCTTTGCTGCTGAACTTGAGGCCTGTGCACAGCCAATGTGGGGGCTCTTATCCCACTGTAAAGTTAGGGTATGTTGAAAATGTTTTTGTTAATTTCTGTCTTCACCTTTAAAAGACTGATTTAAGAAAAAGATTTGTGAGAACATTGATTTATATACTCATATATATTAATGCGCAATGTTTAATTATGAATTCAGCTCTGTGAAAGCTGACCTGAGACGTTAACTATTATTCTTCGGCAAGTTGGAGTTCATTATATTATCAGATCCTTGCAGCCTTCCCTTACTGTGAATAGTCTTTGGAGCTTTAGAAGTCTCCACATTTATCTTTATTGCTTCATTTTATCCATTATCAGTTAGTTGCCTGATGCTTCTTGTCTTTTAAGGAATGAGAATAGTTCTTAATAAAGTTTACATTTTTAAGATTCCAAGCACAAAATTAGTATACATTTCATACAACTTCCAGTTGTCTGCAAAAGGAATCTTAAGAGTAGCATGGCAGCAACATAAATTCTTATAATTGGGTAAGAAAATGATCACTTGTAATTGCATGGACTTGTGTCTTTGTATACAACTATATATATTTTACTTTTGCATTTTAAAGTATTGGTTTGATGGGTCTCCAGAGTCCTTGGATGATCCAGAAAAATGGGATTTCCTGACCCTACTAAACTAAGAACTTGACTGAGATTTTGCTATGTGGATCCCATGAAGACCACTGCCAGCCTATACCAATAAGCATGCTGGACAAGATTTTATAGTGGGAATATTTTAAAGCCTTGGATTCTGAGCTTGGCTCTGCCTTTTTCTACTTACATTGCTTGGTCAACTCATTTAAAACTATTTGATCGTCTCCTTCTTTCTCCTTATTTTTTAGGGAAAAAAAATTGGAAACAGGACACTAAAGCCTGCCCTTCTTCACAGGGTTATTATGAGGTCCTCCTCCATATGTTCTTTATTTTATTTTATTTTTATTTTTAATTTAATTTTATTATGTTGTGTTAATCACCATACATTACATCATTAGTTTTTGATGTAGTGTTCCATGATTCATTGTTTGCATATAACACCCAGTGCTCCATTCAATACATGCCCTCTTTAATACCCATCACCAGGCTCACCCATCCCCCCACCCTCCTCCCCTCTAGAACCCTCAGTTTGTTTCTCAGAGTCCATAGTCTCTAACGGTTTGTCTCCCCCTCCGATTCCCCCCCCTTCATTTTTCCTTTCCTACTATCTTTTTTTTTTTTTTTAACATATAATATATTATTTGGTTCAGAGATACAGGTCTGTGATTCAACAGTCTTGCATAATTCACAGCGCTCACCATGTTCTTTACATATATGAGTTCCTTTAAGCAGATTTATATTTTCTCTCATGACTTCAGCTATTCTCCAAATGCATGTGACTTACAACTTTGTTAGTCTAGCCCGGTTCAGATTTCCAACAGCTCTGGTTATTCATGTAGATTTCCTTATAGGTACATGAATTTTCTCAAGCCCCTAACTAACTTATTAAATTCATCTGCCCATACTGTGTCCTTTATGTCATTTAATGGTGTCTGAAAATACACAGTTATCTAATTACGGAAACTTTCTCTCCTTGCTGTGCCAGTTGTGTTCAACCTGTAATCAGATACCATGAAATTTCTCTTCTGTTCCAGAAAGTCTCCCTACCACTTCTTTCCTGTGTTTTAATTTATTTCTTTATATCTTTAAAATCTGGATTGTTAAGATAATTTAACTGGTTTTACTGCCTCTAAATTCTTCCTACTCTAATCTGTCCCAATACTGAAATTACTTTTCTAAGCTCTGTGCATATCTCTCCTTTGCTTAAAGAAATCATTGAAATTCTCATCTATCTACAGGGCAACATCTGTGTTTCCTATGGAGACATTTAAGATCCTCCTCATATCCCTTAACTTGTCTCTTATAATTCATCTTCCATCTATACCCCTCTGTCTATCTCCATGTCTTCACCGGATTGAATACCATTCTTCAACATGTGGTGTCCTCTCTTGATTCTTGTGCTTTTGTTCAAACTAGTCCCTTTTTTGGCTTATGGTCTCTCATTCTTTGTTTATTTTTACATGAGAATCATCTTGGAAGCTTTAAGAATACATGTGCCTTAGCCCCACTGTCAGAGATTTTGATTTATTTGATGTGCCGAAGGACCTTTGCAGTGATTCTAATCAGAGTGAAGAACCACTAGTGTTAGCTCTTCAAAAATGCTACTCAGCTGATATGTAATCTGCTCAATGAAGTTCTTTCAGTCAGGTTTATGCTTCTAGTTTCAGTGTTTCCATAGTACTTTGTTTAATTCCCGCTGTAGCATTTATAAAGAAAACTGTCATATAATATGAGCTTCATTTGTTCATTCACTAAAAAAAAAAATTTGTTGAATGCTATTCTTATACCAGACACTATCTAGAAACTATCTAGATGCGTGGGTTTTGGGTGTTGAACCAAATAGACATGGTTCTTGTTCTCGTGGGGCAGTCTGATAGGGGAGATAGAGGTTAAGTAGGTAAACACAGATTGATTTTGTAAGTGCTCTATAGGAAAATAACAGGTTGCTGTGAGAGTAAGGAGTGTGGGGACTGCTTTGTCTTGTGCTCAAAAGAGAAATCAGGCCGAAGGTTATAAATTTTAGACCTTGGTAATGTAAATGGTATTTATCACCAGTGGGTGGGATGAGATCAAGTAGGTAGAGAAGTGGACCCTGAAGAAAGAACTAACATTGCGACATCAGAGATAAGGGTGCGGGAGAAAAACCAGAGGAACTCAGTATCCCATAAGCCAACAAAAGACAGTGATGCAGCAGGGAGGTTGATATGTTAATATGAAAAGATCAGTATTTTAGGAGGATTATTCTCACAACTGTGTTTAGGATGAATTTGGATTATGAAGTTGGGGTTATGTTTATCTCTGATAATGAGAACCCATTGTTTCTAGGCAGTAGTTTAATTTTTAGCTTTGAAGGCCAGGATTGCAGTGTGTTATGGTTTCCTTAACATAAGAAGTGAAGAGAATCGAGAAAACAAGTTCATATCGTCCTCATAGAATCTGAGAGAGTAGTTTCTCAGTTACGGGAGTATTAAGTTTCTAAGTAAGACATTCTCTTGATGAGCACCCACATTCTGCCAGTTGTTGTTCTTCACACTATATTCTTTGCATTATATTCTTACCTAGTCCTCATTGCATCTCTTATAGATAGTATCATCTCTTTCTTTCAGAAGTTAAATAACTTGCCTAAGTTCACACAGCTATTAAGTAGAAGCTGAGTTTGAAAACAAATCCATTTGATTTCAGAATTTGTGCTCTTTCCCACTTTGCTGTAATTGTCTGTTAAAAGCAAGAATGTCTAGAGCTTTTTAGTAGGACTGTTGTTGGGTGTTAGAAATGTAAGCTAGACGAAAGACTATTAAAGTAAAAAATTAGCTATTTCGTTGTTTCTGTTCTCTAATTGTAAGATATAAAACTAAAGGATTAACAATAAAAAGAACTTCACCCGATAGTTTACTTTCTTTGTATGATAGCCCTAAATGCTCTTTGGTTCTTGAAAATGTTAGGGGCTAATTAAACAATACTAGATTGATAACAGATAGATTGGATAAAGGGATGGCACATTTCCAGAATCTTACTAGTTTTTGCCTTCCCAACAGAACAAATAAGCTGTAAAATCTCCATCTAGTGGCATCTTTAGGTTACTGCAGACTGGACGGAAGTAGTCTGGCCCTGACCCTTTGGAGCACGTAACCGCTTGTCACACATAGTACCAGACGATGACACAGAGCATTTTACAAACATTATTTCATTTGCTTTCTTCACAGTGGTAGATAGTATTGTGTCCATTTATGCCCATTTTTACGTATGGATAAAGAGACTGAAAACGTTTTAAAACTAGTAACTCAGCATGCACACTGCATTTTTTTGGGTGGTTGTGTTAGTAGTGGGAGATGGCAGAGAGATGATCTGGACATGATTATTAAATATGCTGTATTTAGGAATGGAATTAATTGGTCACCTTTTTAAAGGCTCTTGATACATGCTTTGCAAATTTTTCTCCAGAAGGGTCATATCAGTTTATACTTATACCAAGAGGGTATTATGATACACCTTTGCTCAAACTCTTGATAAAATGGGAGCACATTTGATTTTAAATGTTTCTTTATCTGTGACTTATCTGCCACTTTAGTTTGGTTATAACACATTATTTATGGTAACTTAAAAGTGCCATTAAATTTTTTTCAGTAAGAAGTAAGGAAACAATGTATAAAATAATATTTTTATAAAGATAAATTTCATATAGGATAGATTAAAACAGGGTGAAACTGTTGGCAAGGAAATTAGATAAGTGATATTCGGTCTGGATGGTAGTGGACATAAGAGTGGACCTACATGATAATATTAAGGAAGAATTAACAGTACAGCAGACTGAGCAGGGTGAAGGAGAAGGCAGCAATGGGAGACTTTTAGCTTTCTTTAAAGGCACAGTAATTTATATATGTAGCTAAAGATTTTAACCTACTTGACTTTGATGCTACCTGCACTTTTATTGTACATTAAGGCCCCAAAATGTCTTTAAAAAATTTTTTTTATTGATTTCAAATTTATACAACCTAAAATTCTGTATTTTAACCATTTTAAAGTATTCAGTTCAGTCTTGTAGTATATTCACAAAGCTGTGCAGCTGGTACCACAAATTCCCCAGTAATCACCCATCCCCTAAAGAAACCTCATACCTCCCAGTCCCAACCTCCTCTTATTCCCTGGAAACCACTGATCTCCCATCTGTCTCTATGAATTTCCCTAATCTAGACATTTCATATAAGTGGAATCATACAACATATGGCCTATTGTGTTTGTCTTCTTTCACTTAGCATAATGTTTTCATGGTTCAACTATGGGCGTGTATCATTTCTTTTCATAGCCAAGTAGTAATCCATTACATAGATATACCACATTCTACCTGTCCATTCATGGGTCAGTGCCATTTTTTAGTTTCTGTGGATAATGCTGCTGTGAACATTTGTATGTAAGTTTTTGTGTGAATGTATGTTTTTAATTCTCTTGGGTATATGAGAGTAGAATTGTTTGGTCATACGGTAACTCTGTGTTTAATGTCAAAGTGGCTTTGCCATTTTGCATTTCCACCAGCAATGTATGAGAATTCCAGTTTCTCCACATCCTTGCCAACACTTTTTATTTTGTATTTAAAAAATTAGAGCCTTCCTAAAAGGTATGAAGTGATATCTTATTGTGGCTTTGATTTGCATTTTCCTAATGACTGATAGTGTTGAACATCTCTTCATGCGCTTATTAGCCATTTGTAGATCTTCTTTGGAGAAATGTCTATTCAGATCCTTTGCCCATTATTATTATTATTTTTTAAAGAGAGGCTGTCATGATTTATTTTGCCGTTTAACTTAGTAGTTGCCTATTTCAGTGGATCCATTTCTCCATAAAACATTATAACTTTCTTTCATAGTACCTTTGAGTGGTACACACTTACCTCTTCTTCTTAGCAAGCTAAGATATTCACAGGCTGCTCATAGTACTTAAATGTTCTGTGCGCCTTTTTTTTGTCTGTTTTTATTTTTTACTGTGGCAAATATGCATAATATAAAATTTCATTTTTAGGTGTGCAGTTCATTGACATTAAGTACATTCTCAGTGTTGGGCAGCCATCACCACCATTCTTCTCTAAGATGTTTTCATCATCCCCAAAGAAACTACTCATTAAACAGTAAATGTTAAGGAACTTATAATGTTTTTGAAATCTCCTCGAATGGAATTTGATAGGCATCACATAAAACTATTTCAGCTTTGATTCATTTTCAAGAATATATTATATCAAACATAGCATGCTGTGTTTTTTAATTTTCCTAATTGTCTCTGGTCATTACTGTTAATTTGTGAAAGGATTTCTTAAAATGGCAAATGTGGTTATTTTGATAATATATATATTTTACCATTATATATATAATTTTTATGTATTACATATAATTTGAAGTTGAAAATATACATATTTATATAGTGTAAAATTTGTATAACTTATTATTTTAGGAAACTCAAGAATACACCAGAAATGTTGTTAGATATTGCCTTGAAGCTCTTCAAGACTGGTTTGATGCTATTAACTTCGTAGATGAGGTATGTATATTTTTGACATATATAAAGGCACTTAAAAAAAGTGTTAGATCTCATTTAACACTGAAAATAATGAATATCTTTTCATGGAATAAGGGAAAGAAGTCAGAATGAGAATAATATCATTAGGTTTAAAAAAGGAGAGGTGGAAGATCAGTTCTTTGACATTTAGGAAATTCTGAAGTGTACTAATCATACTTGCTTATTTCCTAGAGAAGGGCGTAATTTCTTTTTCTGTTATCAAGTGTATATGTCTCCATATTTCTCAGGAGTAAAAATTAGTTTCATTTGGAGAGGTTAAAGTGACAGTGCAAATGTGAATAGGATAGGGGAGATTAAGGGAAAGGGTGTTACATCTTCATTAATGGTCAGTGTTCTCCTGTGGGCTTGAACAAAGGTGATTGTTATTAATAATGAGCTAAGAAGAGTTGGCACAGAACATACCTTATATGAATTAAACAAGGGCTTGCTCGTAATTAGCCGTTTCCTATCAGAAGCCCCTTTTATTCCTCTATAAAGTGGGTTCATAATATGCCATATGTGTAAGGACCATGTTTCAGACAACTCCAACTCCCCCATCTGATTTCTGAATCCTGGGCAGATGGAACTCCTGCTGTCTTTTTGTGTGTGTGTATGTGTGGGTGGGTGGGTGGGGGGGGGAGTTTTTCTTTGCCTTTCTTTTGAAAGATTTTTTTTGATACAATCACAAACTTACTGAAAATTTGGAAGTGGAGTACCAAGAACTTTGTTTTCTTGAACCATTTGACTTGATGCCCATTACTCCCAAATACTTTAGTGTGTATTTCCTACAAACAAGGTATACAACCAGATATGACTATAAAAATTAGGAAGTTAACGTTAATATATTATTACTGTCCAATCCTTAGAGTTCCTTTATGTTTTATAAATTGTCCAGTGTTGTTCTTTATAGCAAAAGCATCCCATTCTGAATCCAGGGTTGCATTTAGTCACCATGTCTCTAGTCTCCATCTGGAACGGTTTCTTATTTTGTAGAGTACAGCTAACTCAGTTAAGTTGTAGAACACCCCTCAGTCTGGGTTTTTCCCATGAGTAAACTCAGATTATGCCTCCATACTTTCAACCTGTTTTATTCCTTCTTTGCCCCTCTAGGATTAGTCACTCAGCTGGAGTTTCTCTCATTTCAGTTCTCATTGGTACTTGAAACTTAGGAGGTATTGTTGAAATAGTAACATCACTAAGACAACACTTTGAAGAAGGGGAAAACTCTCTTACAAACAGAGGGTTATGTAGTATTTTAACATGAAATTAATGATTAAACTCAGGGGTGGAGTTAAGGACAGTTAGAATCATGTATGGTATATAGAGCAGCTGAACTCAAGGAAATAGTAGATTTGATTTTTACACAGAAGTATTTTAGGAATTTATTGAATATTATAAAGAATATAAATTTTTAATAGAAGAGAAAAGTATAGAACTTAAGGAATCACACAGTATGTTTTTTATGGTATTTTCAGTTTTTTGTTTCCTTTTTTTTTTTTTTAAAGATTTTATTTATTTGACAGAGGGAGAGACAGCAAGAGAGAGAGCACAAGCAGGGGGAGGGGCAGGCAGAGGGAGAAGCAGGCTTCCCACGGAGCAGGGAGCCCGATGCGGGCCTCGATCCCAGGACCCTGGGATCATGACCTGAGCCGAAGGCAGACGCTTAACAACTGAGCCACCCAGGCGCCCCTGAAGTTTTTTGTTTCTTAAGGTGCTTTGACATATTTGTTCCTCAAAACAACCCTGTGAAGTAGAGAAGGTATCATCCCCCTCTTTTTTTTGTAGATGTAAAATGGAGATGCAAAGATATTAAATGACTTGCCTATAGTTACATACAAATTACTGGTACTTCTGAGTCTAGAACCCACATCTCTTAATTCCTTGTCTGGTAGTATTTCTTTTTCTTTTTCTTAAAGATTTTATTTATTTGAGAAAGAGAGAGAGGGAGGGAGAGAGAAAGAGAGCAGGGGTAGGGAGGAACGGAGAGAGAGGAATAAACAGACTCCCCACTGAGTGTGGAGCCTGATGCAGGGCTGAATCCCAGGACCCTGAGATCACAACCTGAGCTGAAATAAAGAGTTGGACGCTCAACCAGCTGAGTCACCCAGGTGCCCCTTGTCTGGTGGTATTTCAGTGGTGCAGGCTGTTTTCAGTGGAAAGAGCTGTAGAGTCAAGCAGACCCAAGTATAAATTGTGGCTCTGCCACAAACCAACTAGCTATGTGATCTTAGACTTTTTTTTTAAGATTTTATTTTTATTTATTTATTTGGGGGGGGGAGAGAAAGAGAGAGAAAGAGAGCAAGGGGCAGAGGGGGAGGGAGAGAGAGAATCCCAAGCAGACTCCCTGCCAAGTGTGAAGCTGAACGTGGGGCCCAATCCCATGACCCCGAGATCATGACCCCAGCCGAAACCAAGAGTTAGGCATGCAACCGACTAAGCCACCCATGTGCCCCTTAGACAGGTTTTTAAAAATTATTTTATTTTTGATTTTTTTTTTAGCATTGCTGAATCCATCCCCTCATCTGTTTATTGAAGATAGTAATATTAGCCAATGTGGATTGACTATGAGGCACATGTTACATTTGTGATAAATATTTCTTTTACCATCTTTGTGAGTGGATATCAGAAGTTATTGGGGTAATCTAGCACAGATTAAATAAATATCTTTTGAACTGAATTAAGCAAAATCAAACAGTCATATTAGAAACAAAGGATAGAATAAATTTTCCAATAATGTAGGCCATTTAAGAAACCTCAAATACATGAATATCATGTAGGGCAATGAATATGAGTATGTGGCAGGGTAGTTTGACTGGAGTTCTTTGATAAGAGGGAAGGTAGAACATGTGTTCATCCAGCAAATATTTATTGAATGTTTGCTACTTAAAAAACACTGGAGATATTGATGAAACAGTCCCTAATTTAAGGAAATGGGAGAAGGTAAATGGTTAATATGATTCCAGCGCTTCTGTAAAGTTGTGACCAGGTACTGTGGGGGAGAATAGAGTGTAGTATCTGATCTAGCTTGAGGGATTTAGGAAATGTTTCCTAGTAGAGATGTCATTTGAGCCAAGTCTTAAAGATATGCTAATTCATTGGGAGAAGAGATAGTAGTATTTGAGGCAGAGGGCACAGCATAAAGGCACAGAAGGTTGGTGGGTTAGGGATACTACTTGGGGTGCATGAGTTTATGTGACAGGAGATGAGGCTGGAGAGGTAAGCTGTCTTCTCAAGGGTTAGAAGGTTATCAGGAGATTAGAACTATAGGGAGCCATTAAAAGATTGTGAATGGAGGAAGTACAAGATTTAATTAATGTTTTGGGAAGATCACCTCCTATAAACCTCTATAAACATATAGAGGTTTAAGTAGACAGATGTGTTACTTAAGGTTCTTTTGAATGCAAGGAAAAAACATTCTTGAGGCAGCTTAATTTAGAGAGGCCTAATTTCTTATGAGTGCAGAGGGGTATCTCAGGGGTCTTATGGCAGCTGGACCTCAGGAACTGAGTGGAAAGCTGAACAGGAGCTCCTGTCTTTGGCCTTTGCTTTGCCTTACGTACCTCATTTTTTCTTCCCCCACTGTATGTTGGCTTTCTGTGTTTCTTTGCCTATGTGATGAAATGTTACCTTCCTACAGTTGCCTAACGTTACAATTTCAAGCATACTCCGAGATTCTAAGGATGTCTCTGAATCCAATGTCAGGTTTTTTTTTTTTAATAAAATTTTTGAAGATTTATTTATTTATTTAAGAGAGAGTAAGTGAGCACACGAGCTGGGGGAGAGGCAGAGGGAGAGGAAGAGGGAGAGAGAATCCTCAAGCAGACTCCCTACTGAGCAGGACTCTGACATGGGGCTCGATCTCACAACCCTGAGACCATGATCTGAGCTGAAATCAAGAGTTGGATGCTTAACGAACTGAGCTACTCAGACGCCCCCCAACGTGAAGTTTTTAAGAGAAAAACTTATTTCTTACTGTTCAGGTTGGGTTAGATATCTCCTGCTCTGATTCCAGTTAGATGTGGCTATTATAAACTTGACTGCCAGGCTCCATTCTGTGTGTGTGTGTGTGTGTGTGTGTGTTTGTGTGAGAGTGAGTTTGGGAGATGGAGTAGGGAGGGATGTTCTGAGAAGATGGGGAGAATTGTGAACTAGGCATATACCACAAAGGTGTCTCACAGAGAGTAAGAATAGAAGCAGGGGCTACCACTGAAATCTAGGCACTAAATATTGAGGGCCTGAGCTGAGGTTAGTTAGGGGCAGTGTGGAAACAGAGAAGGAAGTAGATTTAAGAAAATCTAATAAACATGATTTGGTGGCTCATGAGATGTTGGAGCCCTGTGAGAAGGAAGGAATCTACATTTCAGATTTGAATTACTAGGAATTTGGTGAAGAAACATTGAGGAGGATTGAGTTTTAGGACAAAGTAGCTGAGTTTAGTTTGCACCCACAGTATTTGTGGTTTGCATGGGATATTAAGTGATGATGTTCAGTAGGCACTTGAATGTAAGGTTTGGAATTCAAGGGTGAGACTTCTGCTGAGATTTGGGAGTCATCTTGGTAGAGTTGGCAGTCAAAGCTGTGAATCTGGATAAAGTCACCTAGAAGGAGAAGAGTAGAAAGCTGAGAATGGCATCTGACGACCACCAGTTTATACGGAAGCAGTGGAAGAAGAGTTTAGCAAGTGGCTAATCTGTGACATTAGAAAAGGAGGGATTATGGAATGTAACACTGAAGAAGAGTGTGAATTTAGGAAATGTTAAAGCCTTGAAAGACAAGATGGAGTCCATGACTTTGTAGTTCATAGCACTGTGTGTTGGGTACTATGTTAAAGATAATCCTGCTGCGTATTATCTCTGCTTTACAGGTCAGGCATTTAGGTGCAGAGTTTAAGTAACTTGCTCACAGCTTATAGCTAGAGGTGGCAGAGTCAGGGTTTGAACTCATGCAAATCTAGAGAGTCTTTTCTTAACCACTGTCCTTAATGCCTTCAGAGGAAATTGAGGGAGATTCTGATTTAGCTAGTTAGTATAGAATATGTTACTCAAATGATTACAGTAATGTGGGAGCAAACTTATTTTTAATTGTAAAATAAGCATAAAACATAAAATTTGCCATCAACCATTTTAAAGTATATAATCCAGTAGTGTTAAGTATATTCACATTGTTCTGCAGCCAATCTCCAGAACTTTTCATTTTTCAAAACTGTAACTCCTCATTTTCCTTTCCCTTCCAGCCCCTGACAACTACCATTATATTTTCTGTCTCCTTGATTTTGACTATTCTGTGTACTCCATATAAGTGGAATCATACAGTATTTGTCTTTTTGACTGACTTATTTCACTTAGCATAATGTCCTTGAGTTTCTTACATGTTGTTGCATATATCAGAAATTCCTTCCTTTTTGTGGAAGGCAAACTTTTATTTATTAGAACAAATTTCTATAGCCATTTATTCACATGTTGAGGAGGATGTTATTATATTTGTTTTGAAAAAAACTCAGGGATGGTGATATATTACAACTCTTTAAAACTCTGTATTATAACTTTATACCAATATTACATTAGCATACTTGAATGTTCTATAAAGTTTTTTTTATTTTATCGAGAAAATATTTGTAAAAGCATTTAAAAACTAATACTTTTTTAATTTTTAATTTTTCTTATTTGTTTAAGAAGGACAATTGTGGTATAGTTTTGCCCTATAGTGGTAGAATGATCCATGGGATTTGTAGATTTAAAATACAATTTTTTTATAATATTCACAAGAATGCCAAAGTTCCTTGATACATACAGTACTAAGCTTTCTTATGGAGGGTGTGTGTTCAGTGCCAATATGGGGAGTATCTTACCCAGCTTGTGAAGGAACATAGGCAAGCCCTTCACCTGTACCTCACTTTAGGACTGTGATCAGAGCTTCTTACCAGTCTGAATATAGCAGTGGAGCCCAGACTGTCTCTTCAGTTCACTATTAGTTAACTTTAGGAAGTTATTTAAGTTTCCAAGCTTGAATTTCCCTACTTATAGAATGAGAACATTAATAGTTTCTACTCCATAGGGTTCTTCTGAGGATTAAATGAGGTAATGTGAATAAGGTCAGCTGTGATTATTGTTCTGATCACTATCATCATGTTTGGTATGCATGCATTTGAAGATTCCCAAGTAGGCTACTGTAAAGGGAGATCTGTTCCATCCCCTGTTCTGTGCTAGATGCTTCAGAGGACTCACGGTTGAGTAGTATATAATTTCCGCCCTCAGAAATTTGCATTTAGACATTTAAAATGGAATTAATTTTATTTATACAGTGGTTTTTTAAAGCTGTACCTTCTTAAAGTTTTGATTAAAAAGGTATAGGAATAAATCAAGGTAAAAGTGTGGTTTTAGCATTTTGAAACCTTCTTTGAACTTCTGTAAAACATTCTTTGACTTGTGGATTTTGTTTTATTCCAGCCAGCACCTAACCAAGTCACTTTTCATCTGCCCCTTCATCGTTACTATGCTATGTTTTTGAGTAAGGTAAGACTATCGTCCAACAATTCTGGTTGTTTTTTCTTTAATATTGGGAATTAAGTATTGAATTAGTAACTTTTTTTTCCCCATAATTTTTAGGCTGTGAAATGTCAAGAACTAGATTTGGATTCTGTTTTACCTGATCAGGAAATGTTAATGAAACTAATGATTCACCCACTCCAAATTCAAGTATGTATTCAGGCTTTTAAAAAGTTTTTAATTGAATTTCTTGGTTACATGGTTCTTTATTTTATTTTTATGCCTTAAATTTACATTGTTGTTATAGCCAAAATGTTTGGAAAGTTTTTTCTAAACTTAAGTATTTTTGCTAGATTATATTTTGGTCTTTTTTTGTTCTATGAGACTTCCATTTAGTTATAATTTCCCCAGGAATTCTTTTCACTGTATTTACTTATAGGGAAGTTTTTTTTAACACTTTTTAACAGTTTAGCACTGTTTTGAGAGTCAGGAGACCCAAGAGATTTCTAGCATTAGTACTACATCAATTTAATTACCCATGTTGTTTGGGGTAACATACCTACTTGATTCTTAGTTTCCCCATCTGGAAAATGAGAGGAGAGAAAAGAGGATTTTTGTGCATAAGCACTATGGTTACTTTCAGTTCTAATACTATAATTTTGTGGGCCAACCTTTTATGTATAGTAGAGGGACTTGCACTTCAATTTGTTTTTCCTGGCACTCTTAGGTTTGTTAATCATCACTGAAGTTTAACACTGGGGGTTAGGAACAAGTAAGAGATGAAGTTGTGACTGTGCTTAGTTTTAGTTGATACAGGACACAAATACATGAAGAATTAAACATTAATGTTATAAAACATTCTAATCTTACCTTCTCTTACCTGCTAATTATTTGAAAAATGACTAGTTTGGAACAATCAGCTTTGTTTTATGCTTATTCCTGTGTTTCTTTAAGCATTATGTAACTTTTTTCTTGCCAAGGAAAGAGTTAAATATAAGTAGCATTGATTCCTCATGAAGGACTTCATTGAAAATTGTTAATAAATGTTTCCAGGAATCATCATGGAAAACTAACTCATGTATAAACTCCAAAAGAAGGGATTATATAAAGCATAATGAGCATTTAAAAATTTCAAAAGATGTATTTGAATATTTTAAACTAACATGGGGCAGAATGTCAGGCTCATGCTCTGATCAAGTTATAAGATATTTTGAAATGATTGTTTAGTATAACATGTTTTTCATAAAGATTTAATTTAGAAGACTTCTTTGTCTAATTTACTTAATTTTTGTTTTACTAGGCAAGTCTTGCTGAAATCCACAGCAATATGTGGGTAAGAAATGGTCTACAAATCAAAGGACAAGCTATGACCTATGTCCAGTCTCATTTCTGTAATTCCATGATTGACCCTGACATTTACTTACTACAGGTAAGCCAATTTGATAATGCAGATATTGTGCTTTAGAAGTCTCTCATTTGTACTCACGGGATTCAGTTTATAGAGGTGACTCAGTGACGACACAAAGAGGTCATTGCTATTGAAAGAATTTATTACTTAAATTTCCCAAGAGAAGGAGGCATGTGGTGCCACACTGAGCCACAGGGGAAGCATCAGATTTTGGTCAAGAGGTAGGAGCAGGAGCAAGGGGAAATCCTAGAGCAGAACGTTTTTTGGCATTTGCATAGGAAGGGCAAGACAGGGCAGGGGAAACAGTTTAGGATAGGTTATTTTGAATAATTCTGGTGGACTTTGGGGCATCAGGGCTGTCACCATCTATCTGGTACCTGGCCCTGGGTTGGTTTAGGGCAGGGGGAATATTGACTTGGTGTGTGAGAGTTAGGTAAAGGGGGTGATTGACTTGCCTGTAAGAGGTTTACTTCTAGGTAATTGTTTACTGTCTTTAGGAATATCTTGAGGAATATTTACGTTTTTAGGTAGGCCAGAGAGGGTGGTCTCTCCCCATGTCTATAAGCACCCCCCCATGTCAAAACATCATAAGATACAGAACACAAACAAACCAACCACATGATTAATATAAGAAATAAAGCAATATTGAGAAATAAAGTCTTTTTTTTTTTGTCTTTTAAAGGTTTGTGCTTCTAGACTTGACCCGGATTATTTTATTTCATCTGTCTTTGAAAGGTAAGCATAATTTATTAAGGCAGGTATTAGGAAGTATTTGGAATTTAAGTTGATTTTGTTTTAACTTAAAAAAAATCTGTCTCAAATATTTCTTATTATAGATTTAAGGTAGTGGATTTGTTGACAATGGCATCACAACATCAAAACACAGTACTTGATGCAGAGCATGAGAGATCGATGTTAGAAGGCGCTCTTACATTTCTTGTGATTCTTTTAAGTCTTCGTTTACATTTAGGTAAAAAGCACTCATACTAATGCTTGGGTATTAACTATTCTCCCTTTCCTCCCCTCTCCCTGTGGTAGTAACTGGCTTATGGAAAAAAGAAAAAGATTTGGATATATTTAAACATTGTTTCAAACTCCTTTTAGAATATCCTTTAAAAAACCCTTTACTTAAGGGAGCTGCAAACAGTAGGTTAGTTAAACTGGTTATATTTGGGGCATTGCAGTCTTTGCTCTTTAATTTTTGAAGCATCTCATTTTTGGTAAAACAGCTTAATAAAAAGTGTGGTAAGTTGTTTCTTTATAATTTATATATATTCAGATTTATTAATTTTCTTTTTAATTGTTTTAGGGATGTCTGATGATGAGATTCTCAGAGCAGAGATGGTAGCCCAGTTGTGTATGAATGACAGGACACATAGTTCATTGCTGGACCTCATATCCTTTTAAAAGTTTAATTTTTTTGTTAAATATAGGACTAAACAGTAATTTGTACAGATTAAGGATGTATCACTTTTGTGATTAAAAAACATTTTTAGAGTTGAAAAATAGTTTGGAAAAAGAACTTCAATTGTTTGTTTAACTGTGTGTTCAGGGCTAGTGGCAGATGTTTTTGCCTCATTTTTACCTCTCCGGGAGTTCTTAATGGCCTTGGTTAGACTTCAGAACTGATGGCTCTGGGCACTCAAGGATCTGCCCTTCTAGGACAGCATTCGTGAAAGGAATCTGGACACTTTGTAAAAGGCAGCTAGGTCTACTTTATCTGTATACCTAGGTTGGAGGTGGCTAACATTTAAACGTATACCTTATAATTATTACCAGGGTTTTAAACATTTTAAGGACTTTTTTCCTTAGAATTAAGTCTTTTTTTTTTTTTAAATATTTTATTTATTTATTTGAGAGAGACAGGGAGAGAGAGAATGAGTGGGGGCAGGGGCAGAGGGAGAGGGAGAAGTAGGCTTCCCAGTGAGCAGGGAGTCCTGTGCGGGGCTCAGTTCCAGGACCCTGGGTTTGACCTGAGCTGAAGGCAGACGCTTACCCACTTGAGCCACCCAGGCATCCCTTAGAATTTAGTCTTAAACCAAGAGGTTTTTTTAAATTTTTTTTTTATTTAAAGACTTTATTTATTTGACCGAAAGAGAGAGCACAAGCAGGGGAAGCGGCAGGCTCCCCCACAGAGCAGGGAGGACGATGTGGGGCTCCATCCCAGGACCCTGGGATCATGGCCTGAGACCGAAGGCAGTTGCTTAACCAACTGAGCCACCCAGGCGCCCCAAACCAAGAGGTTTTTAAGGGCAAAGACTATATCGTCTATAAACTTTAAAAACTTATGGTTCTTTGTGTAGGACAGAGCATACAATATATACTTTATTATTTTTTAAGTTATTAATATAATTTTAGACAGATTGTGTTATTTTGTGATAATAATTTATTTTGTAAATTTTGGATGAAATTTGCTTTGTATATTATGAATATGTTTGGAATAATTGGCTAAAATTTTGTGAAATAACTCCTATGGAATGCCTATTTGATAACCTTGAAGATTTTCATAAGCAACATCAATTTGATATTATTTGATGATTTCATTCAACTGTTATATAATGTGTATTAGTGCTGTAACTGAGCAAAAGCATTCTGTAACTGAATTAAAAAAATTAATTGATTAATGTGAAATCAGTGGAAAAGGATCTTTGTGGTGTTTTGGTTACCTTCTTTGTAAAAATTTATTTAGCATCTTTTTCTTTTTTCTTGGAGCATGATGAAATTTTGTGTTTTTGGAAAAATAATCTTTGCTCATAAAAATCTTGGCTAGTTTTTAGCATACTGTTTTTGATTCTCTAAAGGAAGGTATAACATTATTTGTAAAATGAAAATGGAGATAATTTTAAAAAACTTTTTTCATTTCCTGAAATTTGGGTAATTTTGGGGGAAATAAACTTGGGAACTACTTTAGCATTTTATTAATAGGCTTCTAGATTTAAAAATATTTTAAAAATTCACAATTAATAGAAAGTTATTGAACTCTTGTATTATATAGCCCTCTTGTGGCCAATTTTATATATTACAGCCAATTCTGTTTCAGCAAAAGTAGTTAGAAACTAGAGTACTTTGGTAATTTTATAATTAAAACCTGGCTTTTAGGCATTATTTTTTTTCTTGACACATACATCATATTCCAGAAAATCCAAATCCCAAAAGTGGCATTATTCCAGGCAGTTATAGCTTTGAATCAGTTTTATCAGCTGTAGCTGATTTTAAGGCTCCCGTTTTTGAACCTGGAGGTTCTATGCAGCAAGGCATGTATACTCCTAAAGGTACGTTTATATACATTAACATATTCTTTCAAAATTGGTTTTCTGAATGTGAGTTGTTGTGTACACTAGAAGAAAATGTTTTTTATGTATTCAGGTTTGAGTTTTTAATGGTATACAGTGATATTGCTTCCACTTATTTACAAATCTATGGTTTTATGTTACAGTAAACCATTAGATGACTCTAAATTAGAAAAGGAACTTTATATAAATTCTAGTTCATTTTATAAGTGAATCAACTGTAAATGAACCAGAAATTATAAAACTATATATTTAAAATTTTTAAAAATATATTTACTCTCTAAATTTGATTTTGAAATAGTTCTCACTACCCCAAATTTAACTTGAAACAGTTAAAATTAAAATCTGTATAGAATATCGATTATCTTTCTTTACATTTTTTTCCTTAAGTGGTTGGTTTTGCAAGGTTTTCTCCCTGGCTTTGTAGAGACATGCTTGACAAGAGCCAGAAGTAGGTGAAGTCTTCATTCACCATCTTGTCTTTTTCACTTCACATGTTCACTAATCTAAGCTAAAATTTTGAAGGAAGCACTTACATGCTTCTTGACTTCCTCAAGACGCTTTGTCTAACTGAAAAACTGATGCCCACATTGAAGTTGTAAATAGCACATCCTGTGTTTGGGAAAACACAGCAGAATAAGCCTGATCATGGGGGATTTTTCCAGGAGTTCGCAAAGGTGATCCAGAGTCTCTGGTTGCAGTGTGTATTCCATTAAAGGAAAAGCACAGTGTTTCTTTATTGTAGAGAATACTTTCTATCTAAAGTTTAAAGTTTAGATGAATTTTTGAAGTGGAGGAGCATTCTGGTGTAGTACAGTGCTTAAGTAGGGTGTAATGTGAGGATTACCTCTGTCATACTCACTTGTGGTCCTTATTAATAGCATGGGTTTCCATGCCTCAGCCCCAATCTGCTCTCATCAGGATCTCTGGGGATAGATTCTGAATATCTGCTTTTTTTTAACATGCTCTATAACATGATTGTCATGCACAGTAAAGTTTGAGACACTGAGATGGAGCATTGAGCTTTTGAAGATTGGAGTCAAGAAACTAGTTTTCCATATTCAAATACAGTATTGAATTGTGTTAGCTAGTTTGTGTGATATTGAGAAAAGCAGTTTCTTAGCTTTGGATTTGGCTTCTTATTTGTAAAAAGAGAGAGTTGGAATAGATGAGAGTTTTTAAGCGTTTTGGGGAACTAAACCTTAAGTAAATCTGTTGTACAAAACCCATGAAAGCAGACCTGCTCTTGTAAATGTGGGTGTCGATAGTGGACATCGTTTCTCATCTGTTTTATCATTTCCTTGCTCCTGAAGTGGCCCCAGTTAAACTTCTGTGGGAATCCACAGAACACTAACGTCTGCTAGACTAGTTAATCGCTAAAGTTTTCTTCTATTGCTGTGATTTTATAATTCTGATAAAGCATTGGCATTTTAATTGTACAAATGAATAGATTTAAAAGTGAAGGACAAGAAATGATAATAGAAATAATAACAAAGGTCTTTGTCTTTGTGAAGGCCTATCTTAAGGATCTTAAGTCATACTTATGAGAGATAATTTAAGATGAATGAATGGTCTGTTACATGAAAATAGGGACAATTGTTAATAGTTTCTTATGCCAGGAAGTTGAAATTACAGATGTGTAGAGAGAAACTTAAGCTTCGTACTGTTTTCAGATGTTAAGAATTTTGCTAGAATGAGATGGGGAAAAAAATTAATCTAGGCAAGATGCACTCTTGAGGCAGTGGTTTCTAAAATTACCATTCTCAGGCCATATTGTAGATTTTTCCACATCTAAATACCATCTCTATTATTATATACCTAGTCGTCTGTATATCTTTAAATGGATTCACTTTTTTAAACTTCACCTCATGCTAACCATGATTATTAGTGAGATCCTGGGTTTTATATGCCGTGTACTATTTCCTAATATATGTTATATAATTATTAAAATAAAAATCTTCGTACACTAAAAATCATCTGTATACCACCAGTTGTACACATATCACACATGGGGTAATGGTTCCTAATTTGAAGACGGTAAGGTGATCAATGATCAATTTTAGCAAAAGAACAGAAGATCTTTTACAAACCAGAAATATTACACAGTAAGACTCTTGAAAATCAGTAGCTCATTAATTTTTTAATTTAGTTTTCATATTTTTATCTTTGAATATTTTCCAAGTTGTTAATGCATTGTGTTTCCTATATTCTGCTGGCACTTTACAAAAAAAAGATGAACTAAGCTTTTATGGTGAAGCATTATCACATTATTGTAATACTTTTTACATTATAATAGTTTTTGCTCACTAGTTCTTGCTGAACTTAAAAGAACATTCATAATGATGAAATTATGATTTTTGACTTAGAAAAGTAGTCACAATATCAAGCTTATTAAAGGCAGATATATAATTAAATCAAACTTTCCCATCTTATGAATGTAAAATATACTTAAATGTACTTAGTCATCAAGGATTGACTTTATTCCTAAGAAGTCAGTGTTTTGTTTCTACTTTCTTTTGAATAATAGCTGAAGTCTGGGATCAGGAATTTGACCCTGTCATGGTCATTCTTCGAACAGTTTACCGTAGAGATGTGCAGTCTGCAATGGACAGATACACAGCATTGTAAGTCTGTTATATTAGTATAATAATGGATGTTGTGTATTTATGTAGAAAAATTTCAGTTATAACACAAATGTGATATGCTGTCATTAAAGTATACAATTAATCTTTAGAGGAGAAAATATTTTGAAATTTAAAAAATCTGCCAGATATTTTTGTTCTCAAGATTCTTGATCCAGAATCTGATAAATTTTATAAAATGTCAGAAATAGACATAAATAAAAAAATAACACTTATTTAGTTGGTTTTTGACTAGTGGGATGCAAAACTTGGTTTTGTGTTGTTCTACTTTTAAACCAGTAGAGGAGGCACAAGTTAAGAGAATAAAATTGTCTGCTATCAGAGGTGATGAGTATCTACAAAAAGTTTGGTAATGTTGCTTTGTTTTTCACAACTGGGAAAAGAGCTAAAGCAAATTGAATTTTACTTGTAAATATTTAACAAAGTGGTTTAAAATGATTGCAGAAAAAAGTTTTGAATATCTTTTCAATGAAGAATTCATTTTTGTTTTTATAAACTATTTTTTAAATGTTGTCTTGCTGAACATCATATATCTTTTATCTGCTTTTTTAAAGCATATGTTAAATATTTTAAGACAAGTTTTAAATGATACAAGTATCTTTGATCTTGAGAAAATATTTGTCTTTCAAAGTGTAAATATAGATATTAGGTATAATTGAAACTTCTCTTTTGCCAAGACATTGCAGTAATAGATATATCTGAAGTGGTTGGTAGTGTAGCGTTTTAGCATATCCCTCCTTCTCCTCAAAAAAACAAAACCAAAAAACAACGCCTAGTGCAGCCATCAGCATCTCTCTCTACCTTTCTCTAAAACCCTTGGAGAGATAGTCTGAGGTTCTTCATACTCTACTTTCTTTCTTTTTTTAAAAGATTTTACTTATTTGAGAGAGAGAGCGCACAAGCAGGGGAGGGGCAGAGGGAGAAAGAAAAGCAGACTCCCCACTGAGTAGGGAGCCCAATGCGGGGCTGATCCCAGGATTCTGGGATCAAGACCTGAGTGGAAGGTTGACGCTTAACTGACTGAGCCACCCAGGTGCCCCTGGGAGAGCACTTCTAACTCCGGATCACCAGTCACTGAGGTACCAGGTGCTGCCAGTTTCTGAGCCTTTTGAGGTGTTACTTGGATTGATGCTCAGCTTTCCCCATTGCCTTCTTGTGATTTGGTTTTCTTAGCGCTAGATGAGTTACCAGGTGTCCATATGCTTTCCAGTTAACAAAATCTTTCATTTTTTTCTTTTGTGATTTTCCCCATCTTTGTGGCTTTCATCCTTTAAAAAATACCATTACTATAGTTCTGTTGGAGTTTTGGGTGAAAGTAAAATTAAATACTTATGTTCATTCTTTGGTTTTAACTTCAAGTGCTGAATTTGTAACTCACTTTAATTTGCATTGCCTGGATTACTAGGTGAGCTTTTAAAAATCTATTGATTTCTCTTCGTGTTTCTTGCTGTAAGAACTGTGTATGGATTATTCTCTGCCTGTTTTTCTATTAGGTTGTCTACAGTTTGTTAGTTCTCAAGTTTTCTTTTTTACCTTTAGATCTCTAATCCACCTGGAATTGATTTTTGTTTGTGGTAGTGAAGTAGTTATTTATTTATTTTTACTCCTATAGAAGACCACTTGCTTTAGGATCATTTATTGAACAATTCATTCCTTTCTCACTGATTTATAATATGCTAATTCTGTCATATACAATTGATCCTCATTGTTTGCAAATTCTTTACTTACAAATTTGGCTACTTGCTAAAGTTTTGAATCCAAAATTAATACTTGTAGCTTTTTCCTGGGTATTTGCAGGTGTGTATGGACATGGAGAGTACATCTAGCTGAGGTTGAACAGAGCAAAGTTCTGCCCTCTTGTTTCAGCTCTCATACTTGAAACAAGTATCCTTTCTGTGGTGTATTTAGTGCTATGTTTTTGCAGTTTTGTCCTTTTTGTTTGTGATTTTGCTATTTAAAGGGACCCCCAAATGTAGTACTGAAGTGCTCTCTGGTGTTCCTAAGGGCAAGAAGGCTTTGATGTGCCTTAGAAAGAAAATTCATTGTTAGATAAGCTTTGTTCATTCATGAGTTATAATGCTGTTGGCTGTGAGTTCAATGGTAATGAATCAATAATATGGTACATCCAGAAAGAGGTAGAGGAAATTCACTGATCTGTACATGAGGTCATTCCAAAAAGTGTTAAAATAGCAACTGTCGTGTGTGATGAAGCTATGGAAAGGTTAAAAGCTAAATTTGTGGACTCATGAATGATGACTGATAAAAAAGTGTAGTGGATAGCTTTGTTGTGAGGCTGAAAGCCAAAGAAATTCCTGTCACATTTAGCAAGGGTCAGGAAAACGTTAAACCTTTTTTCACTAGTGCTTGTCTGGCTTCATGTTTCAAAAGGTAATATAATGTGAAAAATGTTAAATATACAGGCAAGGCAGTTCTGTAGATCATGAGGTGGAAGAATTGTAAAAATACTTGCTAAGAGTCAGAAAACGGTCACGTGAAAGAGCAGATTTTCATTGTTGATAGGACCATCTTGATTTACAAGGACTTTGGCAAATATAATGCAAATGGAATTTTGATTAACAAAATTGACCCCAGGCTTGCAGGAACCTAATCCTATATTTCTCCTAGGAGCAATAATTAAATGTTTGTGGTGACTTTATAGAACATAACTACTGTGAATAAAGGCAGCTGACTGTATCCGGTATCTGTATGTATATAGATCTGTATCGCTTTTGTTCCTTCTCTAAATTAATCCCATACTATCACAAATATTGTTAAGTTTCTCTTCTTTCTCCTCCTCCTCTTCTCTTCCTTGTCCTCCTTTCTTCTCTCTTCTATTACAATAGTTATTTATTCTTGGCTCTTTGCCTAGAATTTTAGGATGACCATATCAAACTTAATGATGAAACATATTGGACTTTGATTGAAATTGTGCTGATTGAAATTAATCGACAGGATTTAGATTAATTCATGGATTAATTTGGTAGAAATGCCATCTTTTTAAGTTTTATTTTAATTCCAATTAACATACAATGTTATATTGGTTTCAGGTGTACAATATAGTGATTTAGCAATTCCATACATCACCAGATCCTCATCACAACAAGAGCACTCCTTAGTCCCTATCACCTGTTTAACACATTCCTCCCCCCCATCCACCTTCCCAGTTTGTTCTCTATAATCAAGAGCCCGTTTCTTGATTTGTCTCTCTCTTTCTCTGTCTTACTTTTTTCCCCTTTGCTTGTTTGTTTTGTTTCTTAAGTTACAGATATGAGTGAAATCAATTGGTATTTGTCTTTGTCTGACTGACCTGTTTTGCTTAGCACATAATACTCTCTAGCTCCACCTATGTTGTTGCAGGTGGCAAGAGAGATCATGAGCAGGGAGGGGAGGGAGGGGTAGAGGAAGAAGCCGACTCCCCACTGAGCAGGAAGCCAGGTTCGGGACTCGATCCCAGGACCCTGAGATCATGACCTGAGCCGAAGGCAGATGCTTAACCTTAACCGACTGAGCCACGGAGGCGCTCCTCTATGTTTAATTGTTTTTTTTTTTTTAAGATTTTATTTATTTATTTGACAGAGAGAGACAGCGACAGAGGGAACACAAGCAGGGGAAGTGAGAGAGGGAGAAGCAGGCTTCCCGCGGAGCAGGGAGCCTGATGCAGGGCTCGATCCCAGGACCCTGGGATCATGACCTGAGCCAAAGGCAGACGCTTAATGACTGAGCCACCCAGGCACCCCTCTATATATTTTTTTAATTTTTATTGTTATGTTAATCACCATACATTACATCATTAGTTTTTGATGTAGTCTTCCATGATTCATTGTTTGTGCATAACACCCAGTGCTCCATGCAGAATGTGCCCTCTTTAATACCCATCACCAGGCTAACCCATCCCCCCACCCCCTCCCCTCTAGAATCCTTGTCTCTAATGGTTTGTCTCCCCCTCCTACTTACTCCCCTTCATTCTTCCCCTCCTGCTATCTTCTTTTTTTTTCTTAACATATATTGCATTATTTGTTTCAGAAGTACAGATCTGTGATTCAACAGTCTTGCACAATTCACAGCGCTCACCATAGCACATACCCTCCCCACTGTCTATCACCCAGCCACCCCATCCCTCCCCCCCCCCACCACTCCAGCAACCCTCAGTTTGTTTCCTGAGATTAAGAATTCCTCATATCAGTGAGGTCATATGATACATGTCTTTCTCTGATTGACTTATTTCACTCAGCATAACACCCTCCAGTTCCATCCACGTCGTTGCAAATGGCAAGATCTCATTCCTTTTTATGGCTGCCTAATATTCCACTGTGTATATATACCACATCTTCTTTATCCATTCATCTGTTGATGGACATCTTGGCTCTTTCCACAGTTTGGCTATTGTGGACATTGCTGCTATAAACATTGGGGTGCACGTACCCCTAGGCACCCCTCTATATTAAATTGTTAGAGGAACTACAAGATTGCTTACCAAGGCAGCCTCAGTTTTATACATTCCCATCAGCAGTGAATGAGGGTTCCAGTTTCTCCTTTTCCTTACTAACACTTATAATCTGTCTTTTTGATTATAGCCATCCTTGTGGTGTGAAGTAGTATCTCATTGTAGTTTTGATTTGCATCTTCCTGATGGCTAATGATGTTGAGCATATTTTCATGTGTTTATTGGCCATCTTTGGAGAACTGTCCAGATCCTTTGCATGTTTTAATTGGAGTAACTTTTTATTATTGAATTTTAACTAACACCAGAAATATGATTTGTAAATATTTTCTACTATTCTGTGCGTTGTGGGTTGTCTTTTTGAGTGTCTTTTGATGCAAAAAAGTTAATTTTAATGAAGTTCAATTTATCTAGTTTTTTCTTTTGTTGCTTGTGCTTTTGGTGTCATACCTATTGCTTAATCCACATTATGAAGACTTATGCCTATGTTTTCTTTGAAGAGTTTTATAGTTCTAGCTCTATTTAAGTCTTCGATGCATTTTGAGTTAATTTTTGCATATGGTATAAGGTAGTGGTCTAACTTCATTCTTAGTTAGGTGGATATTTCTTGAAGTTTTGATAGAACTTGCCTATTCAACTACCTGGCCTTCATGTATTTTTTTTTTTTTTTTGAGGGGGATATAATTTAAAACTTAAGTCACTTTCTTTATTATTTTTAAAATTTATTTTTTAAAGATTTTATTTATTTGACTCTCGCCACACAGCGAGAGAGGGAACACAAACAGGGGGAGTGGGAGAGGGAGAAGCAGTCTTCCTGTGTAGCAGGGAGTCCAGTGTGGGGCTTGATCCCAGGACCCCGGGATCATGACCTGAGCTGAAGGCAGATGCATAACGACCGAGCCATCCAGGTGCCCCTAAGTCACTTTCTTTAAAGCTTATAGTCTTACTTAGGATTTTTATTTCTCTTTGAAAGGGATGGTCAAGTTATATTTTTCTGGGAAACATTTTATTTTGTCTTAAGTATATAATAATTAAAAAAATTGTCTTTGCCTTTTTGTTCCTATTATTTATTTGTGTTTGCTGTTTCTTATTCTTGATATTCTTATCAGAGGACTGCCAGTTTTACTATTTTTTTTTAAATAAACTTTGATTTTGTTGTTTCTTCTTTTTCCCCCTTGTTTTCTATTTTGTACTTTTTTTCTTCTTTATTATTATCTTCTTTCAGTTTAGTTTGGATTTTCTCCCTTAGACAATTAGTTTTTGACTTTTTACAAAAACACATGCATTTAATACTGGGAGTTTCCTTCTAGTACTGCTTTAGTTGTATCCCACAATTTTTTCTATAAAATTTAGGTTCTAAATTTAAAATTTTTCTATTATCATAATTATGTGTGAATTTCTAGGAGCATCATGTTATAAAATGTCTACATGTCTGAAGTTTTGGGTTATCATTTAGTGGATTTCTAGTTTTATTTGCTTTGTTACAAGTGGTTGTGGCCCATATATCCATTCTTTTGCTATTTTTTTGAAAATTACTTTCAATCCTAGTATTTTGTAAATTTTTGTAAATATTCTTTTTTTTTTTTTTAAAGATTTTATTTATTTATTTGACAGAGATAGAGGCAGCGAGAGAGGGAATAAAAGCAGGGGGAGTGGGAGAGGGAGAAGCAGGCTTCCCGCTGAGCAGGGAGCCCGGTGCGGGGCTTGATCCCAGGATCCTGACATCATGACCTGAGCCGAAGGCAGATGCTTAATGACTGAGCCACCCAGGCGCCCCTTTCGTAAATATTCTAAGTGCACTTAAAATTGTATGTATTCTCTAATTATTGGATGTTCTTTAAATGTCTTTGGTTCAAGCGTATCAATTATGTTGTTTAAAATCTTCAAAATCCTGGGGCTCCTGGGTGGCTCAGTCAGTTAAGTGTCCGACTCTTGATTTTGGCTCAGGTCATGGTCTCAGAGTTGTGGGATCGAGCCCTTTGTTGGGCTCCGTGCTCAGTGGGGAGTCTGCTTGACATTCTCTCTCTCCCTCTTCCTCCTTGCATGCACATTCTCTCTCTCAAATAAATAAATAAATCTTTAAAAAGTCTTCAAAATCCTTACCAATTTATTTTTCTTAGGCTTTTTGTTAGAAATGTGTTAATATCCTCTATTATGTTTGTGAATTTGTCAGTTTCTCTGTGTAATTCTCTCAGATTTTGCCTTTTGTGTTTTGAGTCTGCTGTTATTTGCATATAAGTTCATTATTATTATCTTCCTGGGGAGCCTGTTGTTCTTCATCACAGAAGAGACAGATGAGCTTTCTTATTTTTCCTTGTGAGTTATCCTTTCATTGAAGGTGAAGCTTTTCAAAGGTGTCAGCTTCATGTGGAATCTCAGTTCCATCCCTAAACCTTGTGTGAGCCCGATACCTTGAGATCTGCCTGCTCAAGGACTTTAAAATCATTGGTAAACACATTGTTAGTGCTTGTTGTTAACCCTGTTTTTTTTCTGGTAACCAGGGAACTTCCCCTTCTTTTCTGTGGTCCAATTATGCATTGATAAAATTACATTTTATATTTTGTCCAGCTTTCCAAGCTGTTGGGAGGTGGGAGAATTTCAGGTTATCTATTTTTTTCAATTGTTGTGACTGGAAATTTCTTTGTTTAGTAGTTTACTATATTCTTTCTGTTTCTTTCCTTTTCTTAACATTTCCTGTTCATATTTTTTTTTCTAGTTTTCAGCTTAGGTCTCCCTACTCATTTTTATTCAGTACAAAATGTTTATTATGAGAGAATAGATATCTGGCATTTTTGAGCAATTTAATTAAAAATGGTACTACATAGAAAAATATGACAAAAATTATAAAAAACAATTTAAACCACAGTTTAATCTTAAGTCTATCATCTAATTTTAGGTTTGCTTTATTTTTCCAGTTTAAAACAGAGTGGGAAATTCCCTGGAAATCCTTGGCCTCCCTATAAGAAAAGGACGCCACTCCATCCCAGCTATAAAGGTCTCATGAGACTTTTGCACTGTAAAACTTTACACATTGTGCTATTCACTCTGCTTTACAAGGTACAGTAGTAATTTGAATAGAAAGACTCAGATTAGAATTTATTTCCATAATTTTCAAATAAAAGCATTAGCAGATAATATTTACATAAAAGTACTACTTATAAAGCAAAGTGTATTTATACATTAAAGATGTGAGGATATGTCATAAACACATATATGTGAGTTCTGAGTTGAAAATGTAGTGGCTACACCATTCTTTGTGGGAAACTATGCATCTTACCCGGTTTCAGATAATGTAAAAAACAATATAGAACATGTTAATAAAACTCAGAAAATCATTCTTGGTCATTTTTTTTCTTAGCTTTTAAGTTACTCATTTGAAACTGTAGGATATACTGTCACAGGATTTCAAGCCAAAATTTGTTTGAATTTAGTTAGTTAGGTTTTATTTATCAAGAGGAGGCAGTGTAGTAATGATAGGTAATAGCTGGGAGTCTGAAATCCTCTGTAGTGTTGCTTATACTAGCTGGGTGTGTGGCTGAGCCTTGATTTCCTCTCTGTAAATAGTGGATTAGAAAGGATGATCGCTGTTGCCTCCCAGCCTTCAGTCACCTCCTCCTGTTCCTCCCACCATCTGCACTACCTGCCTACTGTTTGTTGAACACCAACTGATAGACTATACTATACAAATTACAGATGTTAACTTGTGTAATCCTCACAGTAATTCTGGTCTATTGTTCCAGTTTTAAAAATGAGAAAACTAAGGCCAGAATCTGTTGCTCAAGGTCAAATAGCGAGGTATATACAGAATTTGTATAAAAGAGGTTTTTAAAAGATTAGGAAAGTTTACTGTCTTCACCACTGTGCCACACAAAAGATGAACAGAAAAGCCTTCTTAGTAGTCAAAATAAACATCAGAAAGGCAACTAACTCAAAGTCTTCATTCTTTAGTCAGAGTAAATTAGCTCTTAGGTGACTAAGTCCTTTTTCAAGCCTACCCAGCCATTTGGGAAGTTTCTTTTGTACTCTCAACAGTCTCACCTGAAGCTGGCAAGGTACTTCCGCAGAACCTCTTCTTTTTACCCCTTCCATTATTTGGCCAGAGGGCTTTCTTATAATGAGGACAACATGATGGCTGCCAGGCCATTTTTTTCTTATGGTATTTTTAGGTATGTTCTGGTTAGTAGTTTGTTGCATCATATTGAATGAATGATTGTTATAGGTTAGCCCTGAAATCCTGCATAAGATGTGTAAAGCTTGCAATGTGTAATCCACATAAGGTCAGATTTATTGATGTTTCCTCAGAGAAGCCTCTCTTTTAACTAGTTGCATCCCTTTTTCCTTTCTCACCCATATAAACCACATACTAACACATACATTTACTCAACTGCACAAAATACTCAGGCTGAGAACTTCAATTTTAGAGACATTTTAAGAACATTAATATTCTATAGTTATTTATTGTGCTTCCAATTATATGCCAGGTGCTATGCTTAACACATTTGCATGACTTATCCTATTTAGTACACTTATTTATCTGGTATTTTTGTCATTAGGAGAAAGAGTATCAGCAAATGAGGCGAAGCATTCTTGTTAAATTATTTTATTAGCTACTACTATATAATAATGGATTTAGTGGACTACTTAATGTATTACCTTTAGGAATCCATGAACCAGTATTTCTAGATATTGCTTAAAATACTGTGTGATCTTGAGAAGGAACCTGTTCTTCTGATTTTAGTTTGTCTTTTCACCAAGATGTAGCTTTACTTATTTTCTGATCATGCTGTATATTTATTTATATATATGATTATTTTCATCTATAACAACATGTTTTTGGATACTTAAATATATTGTGTGGGAAAAGTAATTATGAGGCATTTTTTTCCCTCTTTAAAGATTTTGATGGATCATCAAAATCTGTCAGAACACGTACTCTGCATGGTTTTGTATCTGATTGAATTAGGACTTGAAAATTCAGCTGAAGAGGAATCAGATGAAGAGGTAAGTAAGTTTCTTATGTTTTTAAATATTAAAGTTATAAAATGCCTTAACAAAGGTAGTGTGTCATCTGGAAATGTATTTATGGATTCATCATATGCATAAAATATTCTTAACTACTGGAAAAGGCCTTTTTTGATCTTCAAATACATATGTTCTTTTAGAGGTTTTACTCTACTTATGATATTATTGAATTTGAAATTTGTAATTCATAATATATAGATCTAAGAAAAGTCGTTAGTGCACTTTTGGTGTTACGCTAATAACATTGACTACTGATAAATAATTGTTAGGACTTCTGTTTAGAAATCCTAATTTGATTAGGGATTATTTTTGAGTAGCAAATTCTTTTTGGAAAGGTTTTAAGTGAATGAAGTAAATATTGTAATATGGGAGAATTTTTAAAGTACTCAAGAATACAAATTGTTAATATGTTATAGGACTTTAGAAGTATCATTTCCATAAAGGCAGTTGTTACTACAAATTGGTTTTACAAGTGTAAGATTCCCCTCATCCTCTCTCTCCAAAAAGACAGAATATAGCACGGCATAATAACAGCAAAAAACAAACAAGAGACTAGGCAGTATGTTGTTGTCTAAGTTGAATCAATGTATATTCTTTCATAGATATTAAAAGATAATATTTCCCCAAAACTAGGTCAGACTTTGACTGATTTTTCAGACTTTCTTCTGCAATTAGTCCAAATTAGCATTACTTGGCTATATTATGAGTTATTACTAATAGATGCTGAAAATACTCCGTACAGTTAAGTATTTCCAGATTGAAAAAAAATTTTTTTTTTCAGGAGAAATTTAGCTAACTTCCATTGGACTTATATTAGTATTGAGAAATTTATTCTTGTATTTTATGTCTGAATTTGTGTTTATTAGCACTTTATAATTTGAAGATGAGACTATAAAGGATTTGGAAATAAGACAGTAGATGATTATTTGGGCTGGTTACATCTACCTTGTACATTAGACCTGACTTGGCAAGTTTTCATATTCATTATGTTCATGTTTTAGGCATCAGTGTGTGGACCAGAACGTTGTCATGACAGTTGGTTTCCTGGCAGTAACTTAGTGTCAAACATGCGACACTTTATAAACTATGTTAGGGTGAGAGTTCCAGAGACTGCTCCGGAAGTGAAGAGAGACTCACTTGCAAGTACCAGCTCTGACAGCTTGAGTTCTTTACAAGTAAGTGTAGAAGAGAGAAAGACAAAAGGAAAGATTTCTATGTTGTGTTGGGTATATTGTTTAGACCATCCTATGATACTCAAAAGAAAAATGTGGTTGTAGGTAACTTTAAATTGTCTTTTGTTTCCTGTGATATATCTAAGCAACTTTTGCCTCACTCATCTTTTTCCTTTAATCTGCCAGAGTTCACGAAGGCCAAAAGTTCTTCAAAGAGAGGTAGATGTATATAATATTTGCATTAACTAGCAATATGGCTTTAACTGGAAATCGGAAAAACACTTTGAAGTATTTGTGTGTATATGTGTGTGTTTAATATGGTTAAATAAAAAAAAAGTTTACTGTGTGTGTTTTTATATAGTGATTTAGGCTTAATTTTAAAGAAAATTCATATTATTGAAGTTAAAAAAATAATACTTAGTATTTAATAGTGGGTTTTTCTTAGGATTTTGGACGAATTATAAGCAGCACACTTGGGTCTATTTGCATTTAGCATTGTTACTAACATCTTAAAAATGTATGTTTCCGAAATCAAAATAAATTTAATCTTTAATTGCTGGCAGCATGCCCATTTACAGATTTTTTTTTTTTGCTTCTATGGCAATTAATTAACTTTGATAAAATAGGCACACACAAATCTTATTATATTGTGTATTTGGATTTAACTTGAAAATCAGCTTTTTCATTGCATGTAGCTTAATTAACTAATTTTTAAAAGGCAGAAATGAAAAATCTTGAAATGACATGGCAAGTAACTAAAACTAAACTTAAACACCTCTAATCCCTACAATCTATTTTTGTGGGTAGAGAGCACTGCATCAGAAGTTTCTCTTAGTAGAGTCCGTTTATAGGAGATTTCTTTGCCTTTGACAACATGTTTTTGCTGTGAACACCATAAAGAATTTTGATTAAATTGAAATCTTAATAAGAGGCAGCTTTTGCTTCTAATGTTGGTACAGAGTACTTTGAAAAACAGTTTGGATGTTAAAAATAGCGTATACTATAATTTAGCTCATAAATGCTCAACTGAGCTTTTTGGAGCATCCTTTGAATTCTTGCTTAAAAATATTAAATCCATTAAATTGACTCGTATCTTAATTAAAAGATGATTTCTAAGAGCTCTGATGCAGTTTGACTGCTTTAACAAAAAGATTATCTGGAAGATAAATTATTGAAATATTTTAAAAATCTGTTCAAGTAACAAATTATAGTGATATTCAAATACGACAAGATAAGTTTGATTTTTCATCTTTATATTTCCTTTTAGTAACTGTTAGAAGTAATTTTCAAACTTCGAAGGTCTTTAAAAATGAAATTAATTAGCAGTTCAGATTCATTAATTTAGGAAAAGATTTATAATTTACTTAACTAGAAAATGTAGCAGTCTTGTAGAAGTTAGGAAAGATTATAGTATTCTTTTTTTAACAGAGTATAGTTGACACACAATGTTATATTAAAAGTGTATACGTGTTCTTGATGAATAGTGGGTAGAACATCTTTTATTCCTGTAAACTGGTGAGGAATTTGGTGTATGATTCCTCTTCAATATCGCTATAGCTCCTGCTCAGGTTTTGTCTGTTTTTCCTGGTAGATAGGTCTAGGAGGTTGAGAGAGAGGTGTTACTGTGGATAACCACTTTTCTCCTCGAGTTCTTTCCAGATTAAATGAGACTAAATATATTTAAGAGAGGTGAAGGGAGAGACTTACTCAAAGGGCAAATCTATTGAATAAATCCTCAGATTAAACTTTGAACACTGTAGTGCTAATATATTTTACACTTAACACTGAATAACTTCTCTTGATTTTTCTTTCTCTTTTTTAATGGTAGAATTCTGGTACAGCTCAAGTTTTCAGCTTAGTAGCAGAGCGTAGAAAGAAGTTTCAAGAGATCATCAATCGCAGTAGCAGTGAAGCAAATCAGGTGGTTCGTCCCAAAACTTCAAGTAAATGGTCTGCTCCTGGTTCAGCTCCACAGTTAACTACAGCCATTTTGGAAATTAAAGAAAGCATATTGTCTTTGTTAATTAAACTTCATCACAAACTCTCAGGGAAACAAAACTCCTACTATCCTCCTTGGCTTGATGACATAGAAATTTTAATCCAACCAGAAATTCCTAAATATAATCATGGAGATGGTATAACTGCAGTAGAAAGAATTTTATTAAAAGCTGCATTGCAAAGCAGAATGAACAAACGCATCATTGAAGAGATATGTAGAAAAGTGACCCCTCCTGTACCACCCAAAAAAATCACTGCAGCAGAGAAGAAAACATTGGACAAAGAAGAAAGGTAATTTTTATTTTTGATGTTTTAAACATGTATGGTACAGTTGAAGATTTGATATATCCCCTTTTTTGGCCACCTGAGGCTAATCACCTGGATGTTTAACAGCTATAATCATAGCTGATTCCTTTGTAAGATAAAGGGAGCCAAACATAGGCAGTGCTTGGGCATGTATTACGCTTGAGGTAGTTGGGGGTGAAAAGACAAGAGTTTATGACCCCAACATTAAATTACTACCCTAAAGTTGTAGGTGGGCCCTTTTAGAAAAATTGCTACTAGTAGGTTATCTAATAATTCTGCTGCTATTTTAAAAAACTATCATCAATTCAACTTTAAATGAGAATAGAGAGTTAAAAAAATATTCTAAATATTTCTCAGAATAAAAATTTGATTGTTTTGGTTTTTTTGGTCTTTTCCAGTCTTCCAACAAATGATTACTAATTATTAAACAAGTAATGTTTTAAAACTTATTTATGGCTCTAGCTTTTGGAACTTTAGGTTGCTTTTAATTTGTTGTTACATAATGTATTTAAAAAATTTTTTAAATTAAAAAAAAATTTTAAGTGAATTCTACCCCTAATGTGGGGCTCAAACTCATGATCTCAAGATCAAGAGTTGCATGCTCTACTGACCTAGCCAGCCAGATGCCCCTGTTAAATCGTAATATTTGTAAATTAAAAATAAAAATCTTTCTTGGATAATGTTCCTGTTTATAGGGCAGGAACAATATAAGAGAGGCTTAGGCTTAGCAGTAAAGTTGATTTGCTCAATTTTGTACATTACTGAGTTTAAAGAGAACATCCAAGTGGAGATGTCCAGTCAGAGAAAGGGTTTGAGACTTAGGGGAGAATTCTGAGTTAGCACTTTAGATGTGGGCAGTTAAAGGCTTATATATGAAAGAGTGTGTATATAATGAGAACACTTAATATAGAACTTTTATAGAATAAGGAAAAAACATTAAAGGGAATGACTGAGGAAGGAGTACCTATAAAGGTGACTGAAAATGGATGGCTAGAGTGGAAGAGGAGGAACAATGTAGAGAGTGGCGTTCAAGGGGGTTGAGAAAGGAAGAAACAGCGAGATTATGCTACAAAAGTTCAGGTAAGATTGGCAGTTCCCTTTGATTCAGTAGTTAGGAGGTCATCCTTTGATAACTATATCAGGAGCAATTTAAATCACATATATAGTTGTACTTCATTTCCGATGTAATTAAATTTGTTACAGATAATTTATATTAAAGGTATATATAAAAGCCTTCAATATATTAAGAATGTAGGAGAAGGTGCCTGGGTGGCTCAGTTGGTTAAGCGTCTGCCTTCGGCTTAGGTCACGATCCCAGGGTCCTGGGATTGAGCCCTGCATCAGACTCCCCGCTCCACGGGAAGCCTGCTTCTCCCTCTCCTTCTGCCCCTCCCTTGCACTCCTGCTCTCTCTCTCTCTCTCTCTCATTTTCAAATAAATAAATAAGTAAATCTTAGAAAAAAAGAATGTAGGAGAGGTTTACTTCTCACAGTACTTCGTAAATAGGGGTTGTTACAAATAACTAACATATAATTTATATGACAGTTCATTAATTTTGAATCAGTAACTGCCTAAGATTTAATAGATATACTGATAAAATTAGAAGGTTGAAAAATGAGGTAAAATTTTTATTTTTGGTAACCTCTTAAATTGGTGTATTTTCTTGGTTATAGAATAATGTCTTTTTTTAAAGAAGATAAACTTTTAGTGAATTAGTGTTTATTTTATTTGGTTATTTTGGTTTATTTTATAATTATTACTCATAATAGGTGTGATACTGGAGTAGTTCAGATGCTATTTTTACAAAGGCTCTAATGCTGTTGTAATAAATAATACTCTGAAAAAAGGTGGGTTTTTCTTTTTTTCCCCTTTGGGCTTTGTTTCCTTTGAGTGGTGATGATGATGATATTGACAAGGCCTTGAAGCTAATTGTATAGCAGACAGCTAAAGGTTAAGATGAATTTATTTGAATCTCACTATGCTTCTCACATTCTCTTTTCTCTATTTTGGATTTTGCATTAAATTTCGTAATAAAGACCAAACAGTTTATAAACACTTAATGGTGATCCATTCCCAACTACTTCACCTATGGACAAACTTGGCATCACTTTCATAACAGTAACTCATAGAGAACAAAATACAAATAGGAAGGAAATCTTTAGACAGTTATAACAATGTGCAACCTCAGTGTCTCTACCTCTGGGATAATAATGGAAAATTCCTGAGTTGTACGGAATCTGCCAGAACTTGTTTGTCTTTTCATCTTTATTCACATGTATGCCCAAGTTTAGAAAAGAATTATCTAAATTAATAAAAAATTAACAAGGAAAAATAATTGACATTCTTTTTCTGCAAATCATAGAAAGTTAGTATAGAATTTTTTTCTTTAAACAGGTTAAAACAGCATTCATTTATTTACTCACTGTTTCTGTATGTCAAAGTGTAGGTGTGGCATGACTGGCTTCTCTACTCAGAGTCTCACAAGGCTAAAATCAAGGTGACAGCCATAATTATCTGGAGCTTACAGTCTCCCAGGCTCATGTGGTTGTGGGAGAGTAGACATGCATTTTAATACTAGTGCCAAGCAGTTACATTTGAGATTTCCTTATGTTTGATATATGGAATTGTTATTTGAAATATTCTCTTATGGATATACTCTAAAAGTACATGTAAAGATGATTTATAGAGTGGCATAACTGATTGTTTAATTAAAGAAACATAAGAAATTTATAAATTTACAGAGTAGTGATGTAGGAGACCAAACATGTATTCTGTCAATGCTGTTGTTTCTTATAGCATTTTTGGAGGTCCAAAGAATGCTTTGAGCATCTCTAGCACATCTTTGTTTGTTTCTTCTACGGTACAAATTTTTGTCCTTTGAGGATGGATTTAATTTTTTTTAATTTAAATTCAATTGGCCAACATATAGTACATCATTAGTTTCAGATGTAGAGTTCAGTAATTCATCAGTTGCATATAACACCCAGTGCTCATCACATCATGTGCCCTCCTTAATGCCCATCACCCAGTTACCCCATTCCTCCGCCCAACTCCCCTCCAGCAATCCTCAGTTTGTTTCCTATAGTTAAGAGTCTCTCATGATCCCTTTCTGATTTCATCCCATTCAATTTTCCCTCTCTTCCCCTATGATCCTCTGCGTGTTTCTTATATTTTACATATGAGTGAAATCGTATGATTATTGTCTTTCTCTGATTGACTTATTTCGCTTAGCGTAATATGCTGTAGTTCCATCCATGTTGTTGCAGATGGCAAGATTTCATTCTTTTTGATGGCTGAGTAATATTCCATGGTGTGTGTGTGTGTGTGTGTGTGTGTGTGGTGTATGTGTGTGTATCTCTCTTACATCTTCTTTATCCATTCATCTGTCAATGGACATCTGGGCTCTTCCTATAGTTTGGCTATTGTGGACATTGCTGCTATAAACATTGGGGTGCAGGTGCCCCTTTGGATCACTACATTTGTATCTTTGGGGTAAATAACTAGTAGTGCAATTGCTGGGTCATAGGGTAGCTCTACTTTTAACTTCTTGAGGAACCTCCATACTGTTTTCCAGAGTGGCTGCACCAGCTTGCATTCCCACCAACAGTGTAAGAGGGTTCCTCTTTCTCCACATTCTTGCCAACATTTGTTGTTTCCTGACTTGTTAATTTTAGCCATTCTGACTGGTGTGAGGTGGTATCTCATTGAGGTTTTGATTTGGATTTCCCTGATGCTGAGCGATGTTGAGCATTTTTTCATGTGTCTGTTGGCAATTTGGATGTCTTCTTTGGAGAAATGTCTGTTCATGTCTTCTGTCAATTTCTTGACTGGATTGTTTGTCTTTTGGGTGTTGAGTTTGATAAGTTCTTTATAGATCTTGAATAAAAGATGGATTTAATTTTTAAAACCTTTTGATTTTGGGGCTGCCTGGGTGGCTCAGTCGGTTAAGCATCTGCCTTTGGCTCGGGTCATGATCCCAGGTCCTGGGATCAAGTCCCACATTGGGTTCCCTGCTCAGCGGGGAGCCTGCTTCTCCCTCTCCCTCTGTTTGCTGCTCCCCCTGCTTGTTCTTTCTCTCTCTCACTGTCAAATAAATAAATAAATCTTCAAAAAAAATTAACTTGTTAAAATAAAACCTTTTTGTTTTGAAGAAATCTCAAACTTACTGAAATGTTTCAAGGATGGTACGAAGAACTTCCTAGACCATTTCAGAATAAGTTGCTTTACCTTGGAATACTTGAATATGTATTTCCTAGATCACAAAACAGCTTTTAAAATAAGTAAATTAACATTTTTATTTGAGTCTGATAAAATCTTTAGATCCTAAATTTTCACAGTTGTCCCAGTAATGTTTCTTATAACAAAAAAATCCAGTACAGACTCACTCATTGCATTTGGTTGTTGTGTCTCTTTGGTTTCCTTCAACTGGAATTGGTTTCTCCATTTTCTTGACCTTGTCGCTTTTGAAGAACACGGCAGTAACACTATAGAATGTCCCTCAAGTGGGGCTTGTCTGTGCCCTTATGTTTAGATTCAGGTTAGGCATTGTTGCAGGAATACAAGGAAGTGTTGCTAATTTTCTTTTGATTGCATCCCCATCAGGTGTCACATGATTTTAGTGTGTTTCATTTGGGGATTAATTTTGATCATTTCATTAAGGGGGTGTCTGCCAGACTTCTTCACTGTCAAGTATCTTTTTTTTCCCTTTGTGATTAATATGTAATTTATGGAGAGATACTTTGAGATGCAGCAATATCCTGTTTCTCACCAACTTTCATTTTCATTTATTTCTGTCAGCTTGGACTTATGGATTGCTATTTTATTTTATGGGTTGTAATCTCATATCCTTGCTATTCATTTTGATGCTCAAATTGTTCTAAATTTGACCTATGGGACTCCCTTCCAGCTGGTTTCTGTGTTCTTTTGATGTATCCCCATCATTCTTTGAGCATTTTCTTTTTTTCTGGGGCAAGAAGATAGCCCAGGTTCATCTTGTATTTGGAATTAGCCATTTCTCCAAGGAGTTCTGTTTATTTTTTATTTAGAAACCACAATTTATGTGCTCATTCTAAGGGATATAACTATTTTCAGTCACTCATAGTGGACAGAACTAGGAAAAGGAGTGTGTGTGTGTATGTGTGTGTTGGGGAGTTGGAAGGAGCAGGAAGAGAGGTATTAAAAACTGTGAGTTCACCTTGATAATTCCAATTCCAATCCAACATTGGAGTAGTCATTCTTGTTTTCTCTCCTTCCATACTTGTAACTCTGCTCCCACAGTGAGAAACTTGGCAACCATAATCCTCAGATGATACTAGTTTTTAAATCATCACCCTTGTATGTAATCAATTTTTTGTAAGCCCTCTTGTGTTAGGCCATTGGATCATGGCACCTGGTGCTCAGCCGCTGTCTCCAACCCCCCGCCCCTAGGCCCTTCAGGAAGGGAAGAGAGGTCAGAAGTAGATTTGATTTTTTTGAAATGGCCATAGTCAGTTGAGAGTTAAGTTTGATGAATAAGGTGAGTGATCAACCTGGATAAAAATACTTTGGCTCAAAAATAAGAGTTTTAGTTATAAATAAAGTGAATTTTCTTAAGTAGACCCTAAATTATACTTAAAGTAAATATTAGAAAAGCAGTGTCAAAAATCTTTTCAACACTACTGGCAAAAATATGTAACTTCTCATGGTAAGGCAGACCACAGTGCTTGACTTTATACCTGTTAATGATTATCTCCACTAATTGGTTGGGAATGGATGTGAATAATCTAAAAATTACTATTAGCATTCTTCTAATCCTATATTCTGTATCCTTGAATCATTTCAGATTAATGAAAGAATTCTTTTAGTTTTCCCATATAAATGACTTCTTAGGATCTCCATGTAATACTATGCTTTGACTCTTATAGTATATCGATATAATAAATAGTCACTGGAAGACTGCTATAATATGCTCTATCCATTATGGTTTTTTACATTTTTTTATTTTTTAATTTTTAAGTTTTTATTTAAATTCCAGTTAGTTAACATCCAGTATACTATTAGTTTCAGGTATCCATTATGTTTTTAATGTACTTTGTATCATAGGCTATGATAAATCCCTTTTTGAGTTTTTTTTTTTTTTTTTTTTAAAGATTCCATTTATTTGACAGAGAACCATAGCAGAAACACAAGCAGGGGGAGTGGGAGAGGGAGAAGCAGGCTTCCCGCCAAGCGGGGAGCCTGATATGGGACTCGATCCCAGGACCCTGGGATCATGACCTGAGCCAAAGACAGATGCTTAATGACTGAGCCACCCAGGCCCCCCCCTGCCTTTTTGAGTTTTAAGTAAAAAGTTTGTCTCTTTTGATGAGCTAACATATAACTTATATTTTAACATTTTTTTTTCTTCTTCCTCCTCCCCTCTTGTTTTAGATAACTATTTTAACCTTTCTTTGCTGAGGGTAAAATTTTTTCTGCTCACTAGTATTGTTAGCATCCCCAAATCTAGGGAGGCCTATAATCCAAAGGAATGTTTATGCTTAGGTTTGGAATATAGTTTTGTTCTCTATGTCCTATTTGAGACTATATTTTTTTACTTGAAACAAACTAAACTTGGAATATTTCTTAGTAGAAATTGGGAAATCACTGGCTTCTGCTCATTCTCTTTTAGGAAAGACCTTAATGTAACAGTAAATATGACTATTCTTATCTTTTAGATTCTGTTTATATCTAAACATCCTAGCTTCTTCTAGTAACCAGTTTGCTGTTATTTGTGCCTGGGGTTAAATTGTGGGTTCCTTGCTAAAAAGACTTTTCTTACTCTCGCTGCCAACTGACATACTTAGGAAATTATGTTGTTGGAAATCCAAATTTTCTCCTTTATTACACTTTTTTTTAAAAAAGATTTTATTTATTTATTTGACAGGGAGAGACACAGCGAGAGAAGGAACACAAGCAGGGGGAGTGGGAGAGGGAGAAGCAGGCTTCCCGCCGAGCAGGGGGCCTGATGTGGGGCTCGATCCTGGGACCCTGAGATCATGACCTGAGCTGAAGGCAGATGCTTAATGACTCAGCCACCCAATTATTTCACATTTTAAAGTAAATCTTGGCTTTTATTTTTACCTATTTAACCCAGTGATCTTCAAACCATTTTAAAACAGTGGAGGGGCACCCGGGTGGTTTAATTGGTTAAGTGTCTAACTCTTGGTTTTGGCTCAGGTCATGATCTCATGGGTCATGGGATCAAGACCCACATCGGGCTGCCTGCTCAGAGGGGAGTCTACTTGAAGATTCTCTCAGTTTGTCCTCAACTGTGTGCCAGGAGCTTTTCATACAGTATACACTCCTGAAATGTAATAAGTCTTAAACACGTCTGATACTTACCACTTTATTTCTGTTTAATCTAGGCGACAAAAGGCTAGAGAGAGGCAGCAGAAATTGCTTGCAGAGTTTGCTTCACGACAGAAAAGCTTCATGGAAACCGCAATGGATGTTGGTAAGTTAAAATTTATTAATTTAGAGCTCTTATAATGACACGTATTATTTAGTTCAATTTTTCACCAGTTTTCAACATTACAGACAGATGATTTCTAGTCTTTATTTAAACAACAGAGTGATGGAGGATCAGACTGTTATAGGCAGTTTATTTTTTTAAATTTTTAAATTTTTTAAAAGATTTTATTTATTTATTTGACAGAGAGAGACAGCGAGAGAAGGAACACGAGCGGGGGGGGGGTGCGGGGGAGGGAGAAGCAGGCTTCCCGCGGAGCAGGGAACCCGATGCAGGGCTCAATCCCAGGACCCTGGGACCATGACCTGAGCCGAAGGCAGATGCTTAATGACTGAGCCACCCAGGCACCCTGTTATAGGCAGTTTATTCTGTAGTTGCATAGTTGTAATTATTAGAAAGTTCTTTCTGATGGTAGCAATACGATAGCCTCTGCTATTTTCCTCTGTTAGATTGTCCTTTAGATTTGTGAGGTTCACCAACATGTATTTACTTATTCTGATTTTTCCTGTGAAATTATCCTAAGATTTTTAAAATAGCTTTCGAATACTTTTAGTGCCTCCTCCTTCTGCTACCCCTGCAGTAGTTCTTAAGATCAGTTTTGCACTTCTCACTTCTATTAGGATTAGCGTTAGCATTTGTACAGCAAGAGGGGATGCCATTTTCCTGTACGATAGTAGATTGCTATGAGGAATTTTTTACAAACCTTGGAAGAATAGCTTAAATTTCGGTTAATCTCAGTCTTCAGTTAACCAGGATACTCCCTTTCCTGACTACCACTTGCATTCCAGGGATTTTTTTTTCTTTTTTTTTAACTTTTAGACAGAAATGCTGAGAAAAAGTGCATTTAGTTAAAGTGTATACATATATGTGCATTCAAACATGCATACACTCTTTCACAACTTAATCTCAGAAATGACATAGCATTTCTGTACAAAAGTACATTCTCATGCACTTTTGTGCACGTAAGTACACATAATCAACATCCAGAAGAGGTGTGGGGAGGGGGTTAGTCCAGATATAATATAATGCTCTTCTGAACCATCAACAGGTGAGTTTATGTTCAGGATGTAACTTTGATGTAAAGAATACTGTTTATAAGATTAATTATCAGTTGACTTTCTCATATGAAAGGTGAGGATTTAGTTCATTGACACTATGTTTCCTTTTTCCATCTCTTCTTTTCCTTCTTTCTAGGAATCCATAATTAATATTTTTTGGTTTTTTTACATATCAAATATAATTATAATGTGTATTAATTGTTCTCCTTGTGGCTAGTTCCTTCATACCCCTTCATATAAGTGAATTAATAAGCACCCCTATTTTTCCTTTTATTTTTCCTTTCCTCATCTCTACGTTTTGCCTTTATCAGTTATTTACTTTTAAATTGTTAGGGTTGCTAACATTTTCTTTTGTAGTCACAATGAAGTGTTCCATCCAAAGGTTGACTGTAAATCTTGAGAAATAATATGACTTAAAAATTTTTCTTAAATTTTTATTTATTTTTAAAAAAATTATTTGAGAGAGAGCTAGAGAGAGAACATGAGCAGGGGGAGGGGCAGAGGGGGAGAGAGAAGCAGACTCCCTGCTGAGCAGGGAGCCTGACTTGGGCTCCATCCCAGGACCTTGGGATCATGACTTGAGCCAAAGGCAGATGCTTAACTGATTGAGCCACCCAAGCACCCACAGAAATAATATGACTTTTGGAATGTTGTTGAGTACAGGACTAAAAGTAGTGTGATAGGATTCATTTACTTTTTTTTTTTTTTTTTTTGAGTCCAGTGGCCTGACTCCCAAACTACTTTAAGGAGATTGTATATAGAGTATACATAGCCCTATTTCTTACAGTTTCTCAATTGCTAAAACCATACCACCCTTTATACATTTCTACTTGGGCCATTACTTTGTCATATTGTCTTTTGTTTTTCCTAAAGTTTTCATCTGTTATTTTTTCTTAACTCATGTTCCCTTATGCTATCTCTGTTATTCTGCCTACTCAATCATACTGTCCTTTGCATTTAATTCTGTTCCAGTCTCATCCAGTTGCTCTGGAGGCATGCTATACAGCCATTACCTTTGGATTTTCTGTGGTTTCCTGCATCTTATATCATCTCTCTTTTTTGGGGGGGGTCTTGTTTTATTGGCATTCAGCCACAAGCGTATTCCTACTAATGCTTGTAGATGGAACTCTAGTTTGCTCTCATGCTTGATTTTTCGTTTGGATGAGTGTATAATTCCAGGTTGATACACATTCTTTCTCACAAATGTTAAAGCAATATTCCCTTGTCTTTTACTATTCATTTGATAAGAAGTCTGGTGGTAGTTTGATTCTTCTTCCTTTGTAGGTGAGCTCTCCCCCAACCTCCCTGCCCCAACACTTTTAGATCCTTAGAGGTCTGGACTTTTTTTTTTAAGATTTTAAAGTATTTTTATTTTATTTTATTTTAATTATATTATATTATATTATATTATATTTATTATATTATTTTAGGCTTCACGCCCAGTATGTGGTTTGAACTCATAACTCTGAGATCAGGAGTCACATACTCTACCAACTGAGCCAGCCAGGTGCCCCAAGAGATCTGAAATTTGATGATTTGTATCTAGGTGGATCTTTTTTCATTTTCCTTAGTACTTAATGGGACTTTTCAGTCTGAAGATTCGTGTCTCTGAAGCTCTGAGAAAAAAATATCCTATGATTTTTTATTGATAACTAGTCATCCTCCAAGATGACCCTCAAATGATCCATAAATACCTCCTGGTATTTATGTCCTATGTAGTCTTCTCTTACATTGCACCAGAATTGGTGTGCATGACCCCTGGAATATTGCAGAAGTAGTACTATGTCATTTCTAAGATTATGTTGTGGAAGACATTGTGGCTTCTGTCTTGATTGTTTTTTCTCTCTCTTGGATTACTCATTCTGGAAGAAAGCCAGTTGCCATGTTGTGACCACCCCTGTGGAGAGGCCTATCTGGAGAGAGACTGAGGCCTCTGGCCAACAGTCATGTTAGTGAGCTTGGATGTGAAACTTCTACCTCCAGTTAAGCCTTCAGATGGGTTGTTAGCTTGACAGCAATCTCGTAAGAGATCCAGAACCAGAACCATTCAGCTAAGCTGTTCCTAGGTTCCTGACCCTCAATAACTGTGTGAGATAGCAAATGTTGGTTTTTTTTTTTAATAATTTTTTATTGTTATGTTAACCACCATACATTACATCATTAGTTTTTGATGCAGTGTTCCATGATTCATTGTTTGTGCATAACACCCAGTGCTCCATGCAGAATGTGCCCTCTTTAATACCCATCACCAGGCTAACCCATCCCCCCACCCCCCTCCCCTCTAGAACCCTCAGTTTGTTTTTCAGAGTCCATCGTCTCTAATGGTTCGTCTCCCCCTCCGACTTACTCCCCTTCATTCTTCCCCTCCTGCTATCTTCTTCTTCTTTTTTTTCTTAACATATATTGCATTATTTGTTTCAGAAGTACAGATCCGTGATTCATCAGTCTTGTACAATTCACAGTGCTCACCATAGCACATACCCTCCCCGATGTCTATCACCCAGCCACCCAATCCCTCCCACCCCCCACCACTCCAGCAACCCTCAGTTTGTTTCCTGAGATTAAGAATTCCTCATATCAGTGAGGTCATATGATACATGTCTTTCTCTGACTGACTTATTTCACTCAGCATAACACCCTCCAGTTCCATCCACGTCGTTGCAAATGGCAAGATCTCATTCCTTTTGATGGCTGCATAATATTCCATTGTGTATATATACCACATCTTTATCCATTCATCTGTCGATGGACATCTTGGCTCTTTCCACAGTTTGGCTATTGTGGACATTGCTGCTATAAACATTGGGGTGCACGTACCCCTTCGGATCCCTACATTTGTATCTTTGGGGTAAATACCCAGCAGTGCAATTGCTGGATCGTATGGTAGCTCTATTTTCAACTGTTTGAGGAACCTCCATACTGTTTTCCAGAGGGGTTGCACCAGCTTGCGTTCCCACCAAGAGTGTAGGAGGGTTCCCCTTTCTCCACATCCCCGCCAACATCTGTCGTTTCCTGACTTGTTATTTTTAGCCATTCTGACTGGTGTGAGGTGGTATCTCATTGAGATTTGGATTTGGATTTCCCTGATGCCGAGCAATGTTGAGCACTTTTTCATGTGTCTGTTGGCCATTTGGATGTCTTCTTTGGAAAAATGTCTGTTCATGTCTTCTGCCCATTTCTTGATTGGATTATTTGTTCTTTGGGTGTTGAGTTTGATAAGTTCTTCATAGATTTTGGATACCAGCCCTTTATCTGATATGTCATTTGCAAATATTTTCTCCCATTCTGTCGGTTGTCTTTTGGTTTTGTGGACTGTTTCTTTTGCTGTGCAAAAGCTTTTTATCTTGATGAAATCCCAGTAGTTCATTTTTGCCCTGGCTTCCCTTGCCTTTGGTGATGTTTCTAGGAAGAAGTTGCTGCGGCTGAGGTCGAAGAGGTTACTGCCTGTGTTCTCCTTTAGGATTTTGATGGACTCCTGTCTCACGTTTAGGTCTTTCAACCATTTGGAGTCTCTTTTTGTGTGTGGTGTAAGGAAATGGTCCAGTTTCATTCTTCTGCATGTGGCTGTCCAATTTTCCCAACACCATTTGTTGAAGAGACTGTCTTTTTGCCATTGGACATTCTTTCCTGCTTTGTCAAAGATGAGTTGACCATAGAGTTGAGGGTCCATTTCTGGGCTCTCTATTCTGTTCCATTGATCTATGTGTCTGTTTTTGTGCCAGTACCATACTGTCTTGATGATGACAGCTTTAGCAAATGTTGGTTTAAGCCACTGAATTTTGGGGTAATTTGTTAAATAGCAATAGAGAGCTATTACAATACTTTCCTCATATTTTCTTTATTCTCTTTTTATGGGACTCTTAGATGTTGAGACTCCTGGATTGATATTTTAATCTTTTATATTTTTTATCTTTTATATATGTTCTT